TCCCCGCGCCCGTAGCGCCGAAGTTCGGTGGGACCAACGCGGGGCCCCTCACATAATCCACGAGTACGTCGCGACGAATTTGTTCGGCTACCCAATGAGCCATAAACGCGCCCCCACACACTCCCGGGGCTCCTTCGCCACATGTCCTTCCACATCACGACGAAGAGGCCGCGAAACTGGGGCCGTAACTTCAAAATGGCTACCGTCCGCATCGATGGTCATCGGGATCCGAGCGCGAATTTTCGTTATCCGAATTTCCATATCATCGTGGACCGAATTGAGAGAGTACCAGCGAAATCGCGCGCTACCTCTCTCCTCCCACCCTTCCCTCACCAGCCATCCCCCATCGCGATTGAAGCTTCCTGGACGCGCGCGACACACGCGGTTGTGTGTACATTTACGTGTAATTACGTAACTTTCGCAATTAGCGTGAAACGAACGGACGATCGAACGTTATGAACTAACCGTATACCGCGGCGATATTGATATAAATATTAATGATGTAATTTGTAATAAATCAGTTTTCCATATAAATCGACGCGATATTTATCGTTGAGAATTTATACAGCAAATATAGCGCAGAGACCGAGGGCGGTGGGAGGGCAAGGGGGTCGGGCGCCGGTATCGATACTTATCGGGAAATATTTACGGAGACCGCGTCACGCACATAATATCCGGCGAAGAAAACATTAACAAAAGGGCGCGTCGCGCATTCATTTTTGCACGCAATGTGGAAACACTGCGGACGGAGCCAATTCACCGAGCGAAAAACAACATACTTCGGCAAAAATACACGACTGAATGAAATATCGTGTTTTAAACAAGACAGATTTACACATGGCGCGCATTTGCCTGCGATTCCCGCCGGTCTTACAACCCTCTTTTCACCCCCCCCCCTCCCGCGTATCAGATCGCGTCTCTGCGCTTTCGTGATTCTTCTCGCGCGCGCCCAGCTCCTACGCTCAATGAAAAATTAAATCTCACAACAGGTGAGAGACAGTTGCTCGTCGCAAACACAGCAGGGTAATAAACGACGTATTCGAATATTTGCGAAAGATTGAAGAAATTCCCTCTAGATCTTTTGCTCGAGAGCGTGCGAGCAGAGAGGATAAGCGTGTTCTTCTCTCGTGGACGACGGAATAGCGGAACCTCGCTCACCAAGCACGCGTCCGGAGTAATAGCGCGGGGTCATTTGTTACCACAAATAAAAAGTGTCGAATCCGGCCCGAAAGCGCGATGGTCGGTGTGTAATTTGTCGGTCGAATAATGCGATGTTAATAGAATGGTATATTGGGGTACACCGACCCCATAAATCATTGTTAATTTGGCAGAGCCATTCAATCGCCATACTGCCAAGCCACTCTCGCTCTCCTTCCTCTTTTTTTTCTTCTTTTCCTCTCCCTCCCCCCTTCTCGCTTTCTCTCTCTCTCTCTCTCTCTCTCTCTCTCTCTCTCTCTCTCTCTCTCTCTCTCCCTCTTTCACAAACCGGCGATCCTTCGACTGCTCTCCTCTTCATGCCGGCTCCTGTTGGTTGAGGGGATCCGAAACGGTCGTAAAACGAGGGCCCTCTCGATGACCGCTGGTGAATGTGGTCGTCCGCGAAATTGCCCCTCTATCTTTGTATCCTCCCGCACACGCTCCCGTTCGTCCAACGGCCTTTTTGTTTCCGCGTATTTCACCGGCTGACCTCCTTTTTTCCTTTCGAAATTCGCCTCTTCGGCCATCGATATCGCACGGTTATTAGCCAGTGAGTCTTATAGTCAAACCCGCCGAGACGTATTGTGTCCGACATCGAGCGAGGGTAAACGTGGCGAACATACAATTTGTGTTAAACAGATTTTTCATGATAATGTTCCACGGTGATAAGATGAACTTGCAGGATGATACGTGCACCGTCGAGCTGTACAGAGTAGTAAGAAACAACCCTTGACGGTCTTTCCGACTGGAGCGAAAAGTCGGGCGAGAAGATGAATCGACGCAAAAGTTAGGTGTTAGAAATTAGGTGAGAGGACCAACGCGCGCGAGCCGAACGAATTGTCACGTTAATCCTCTCACGTTTTATTTCCTCCGTTGCGCAAAAATCTCTTCTTCTCAAGAATCTTTCCTAAAAATCACACATTGCGTCCCGATGCGAGCTTTCACCGATCGATAAGTCGGCGGACGAGTCCGACACATCCAACATAGTGCGTCGACTCGCGGTTGAACATGGTGGAAACGGTTATCCCGAATTTTTCACCATCGACCTGCGGACGTCGAGCGACACGATTGGCGGAATCATCGTGGTACTTTCGTACTGGAAAAAGGTACGGCGGGAGGGGAGGACGCAGTATGACGAGGAGGATACACGGATGGCGAACGAGGAGAGAGAGAGAGAGACAGAGAGACAGAGAGAGAGAGAGAGAGAGAGAGAGAGAGAGAGAGAAGGGGAATGAGAGTGTAAGAGAGGGATATAGAGAGAAAGACAGAGTGCATGACAGAGAGGGGAAAAGGAGAGTACGAGGCTCGTGTTTCCGGCCGGGTGAACAACAATGCCCGCAGACAAATGAGCATCCCGCCTCCATTGTTCGCCTGATCGGCACGGCGCAGCCTCTCCCCGGTTCCGCTTGCTGCCCCGGACCTCCCTATGTCGTCGTCAGGGGCCCACGTCGTACTCCAACACCCGGTTGGGGGGTCCCCGATCAACCTGATGCGGGCCAACACCGATTAAACATCGCTGCTTCGTCGAATCTCCGTCAACGGGACTCTCCTTGCTCTCCTTCTCTCTCTCTCTCTCTTCCTCCTCCATCTCCTCTTCCTCCTCCTCTTCCACCACCTCCGCCTCCACCTCCCTGTATCCCTGCCTCTGCCCCTCACCGTTCATCCGTCGTCCGTTTCCTCTTGCTCCTTTTGTGCTACCTCTCGATCGCTCTCTTACCTCCCGTGCTTTTGTCTCTGCATGTTCAGCTCTCCCGTGTCCTTCCCGTTCTTCTTCGATCGGCGCTTCCATTATGTTCCAGATGCGGTTCCACCGCAGGGGAGGAGAGTAGAGTGCAGTGCAGGGCGACCAGAGCGAGTGACGACTCTCGTGCGACACGTCAAGCACCGGGGTTACGTAAATCGGGGTTTACGGTTGCAAACACACCATGAATGATGCAGTGGAACGCGGTGATAAAGACATGAAGATAATAAGAGCGTGCAATGAGGGTGCGTGTAGTATTCAAAATGGAAAGAAAGCAATTATTAATGGAATTTCAAATATTTGTGAAGTCTCAATCGATCGAACGCAATGTATATTTTTTACAGTCACAACATGTCAATTATGTTGGCTTAATGTTGTGAAATAAATCTTACAAATGTTCGTTGAATGAATTTTGTTGACGAATTCATTCAATACTAATTGATAGAAAAAATAAATTTTAATATGAAAATTTTAATATGAAAAATATTGTATAATAAGTAAAAGTATTGTATAATAAAATTTTATATTAATACGGGGATGTATATTTTTTTGAAATGCGCCGATTGAATTCAGATTCCTCTTTTTTTACCTTTCTTTATATTTCGTTCTTTCTTGTTTTCTCTGTTTATATCTTTTCCACACATCTATTGGAATATAAGTTATCTTTTACAGTTTATGTAAATCTTATAATTTTATATATATCATATTTCCCTTGCCGATGTTTTCCTCAAAGCGTACTTTCCGCGTATTAAACCGAGCTGATATCGTTATGACCTATAAATCGTAGAGCATATCGTTATAACCACTCTGATAATTTGAAATTTAATTACCGCGGTATCTTCGACGTGTTATATTTGGACACATCTCGTCATTCAATATATCGTCAAGAATTAGATTCCCATTTTAGACGTCGCCCATAAGAACAGTAGATGCATGCGATCGGTTTAGGCATTTATAAATAATTATTACATGCTTCAGAAAGCAATTCGTTACTCGGCCCTGCCAAACGCGATTTCCCGCTGTTCGAGATTTGGTAGCGTTGTTATTTATACGAAATTTCGACGACAGATACCATTTCGCCCGACCGAAATAGTTATCGGATCACTTTTATGAGATTATGGATACGCGTTACGTCATATACGCGTGCAGACGCGTACGGGTGCGGTTTCGATGGCTGATTTCCGGCGCGGTTCCCGATCGAAAAACTCACCGAGACAATGGACCGTACGTCCACGGGAGACAAACGGTCCGCAATGTAATGGCGTAAGCGAGAGAGGAAAAAAAGAGAGCACAGAAGCTCGAGGCGAAGCGGAAACCCCCTGCGACGCACAAACGATCACTTGTGATTATTATCCATGGAAGTCGATGTGCCGGCCAAGTCGATGGTTTGCTTGACCGAACCGGACTTCCGGTCGCGTTTCGCAATGGGCTTCGATTTTACCAAATACGGCGACTCACAATGTTGTCCATTGTCTTCCAATCATTGTCATCAGCGCGAGATTAAAATCTTTGAGGATATAATAATTAAAAGTTAACACCCAGGTGCATATACGACGACATTTGAAACGTTTGGCATAAGAACGGTTCAATGAACTCTCTCTCTTTCAGGAGCTGGAGGAATGAATCTTGAGATGTTGAATCTGGTATAAATAAATCCTCTGTCGAAGGAGCAAACTGAATTGTCACATCGCGCCGTTGAACTCTTCAATTGTAGAACGCCGTGAAGAAATCGAGGAATGCTCCTTGTGGCGCAAAGTGTCTCGTTTGTGCGGCCGACTGATAATAAGAAGACGATGTCGTCGGCTCAGGAGACCAGATGTCGCGTAAGGATTCAGGACCCGCCGGTCCATTCATGGCAGCTCCCGTGGCAGCGCACCTTGCTCGAAACAACGTCGACCTCCTGGACTAAGGAAATCCGATACACCACGGTACCTCGGGACGTACGCTACCCTACTCATCCATATTGCGGCCCGTTCCAATTCCATTAAACAACTGACAGCCTCTCCGGGCCGCTCTTCGTGTGCCGCGAGCATTGTAATCGTCGTAATTTCCCCGTCATCGATTAACATCGATTGCAAGTACCGATACCTGGTACTTGTATCTCAAACACATCCGACAATCCGAGTACTGAGCAAGATACGTCACCGAAGCATCTTATTTGTTACTTAATATTTACATTATCGAAACATTGAATAATGCTTGTTTATGTAATACGAATTTATAAAAATAACCCTTCCATATATGAATTCTTCACCATAAATTTTAATATTCTATATGCTGTTTTAATACGGAGTTCGTTTTTATATAATGAAACTTTTTCAGATAAGATCGATATAGCTTCATTAAAGAATTCATAAATAAATGTATAAATGTACACCTGTCTATTTCATTATGACTTATTAAAACCACTAAGAGATCTAAGCTTTCTTCTTCATTGCCAAATTAAAAATTATCGACTAAATGTATTTTTCATCAGAAACGTCAGTTAGAAAATTGGCTGTATGATAATGCTCTAAAGCGTTTTATGCGATTATATGTGAATAATTATAATTTTTCCACTTTTGCATAATTAGAACTGCATTTATGCAATATACTGCGAGAGGCAATCGTTTCATTTTGTTTCAATTTACGACTTTTTTGACGCTGTTGAAAAGTCTTTATATCAGCATTTAATTCCTCGTAGGGCTGCGTCAACGTATCAGCCAAATCTTTATATCTGCGGTTATCAAGAGAAGAAATAATTTATTTACAATTACCTCGATGAATCACACAGCGAGCAAACCATACTGGGTCGTCTTCTCTGTGAGACAGAACTTGCACTTGTTATCAGTTGTGAGCGCAATTTTTTCTAGACCAAGTTCCTGAAAAACTTCCAATCCTTTGCGCCAAACATCCTTCTTCTCCTCTTCCCTCTCATCTACGCTTGATGCCGACGATTTCGTTTCCGATGGTGTCTTAACCTCCAATGTACCTATTTTATTTAAATATAGTACATCTTTAGTGACACATATAACCGCTAATTAGCAATTATTATCACATTTCATCTATCTGTAGTAAAACGTTTGTAAAACAAATAAGTTGCTATTATACGTACAAGTATAATAATTTAAAGATAATTTAAAATTATATATGGACGTAGGTACAAGTGGGATGGCTTAATTTAATGTAATCACGAGAATCAACTTCTCTTTTCATTTTAACTGTAAAATGTATTATTACTGACAAATTAGACGTATATTATTACGTATAATATTATTTGCAAAATTTCGTACGAATCTTCTGGAAAAAAATTTTGTGATATTGTTATATCTAACGGCTCTATAACTGAAACGATATTTCACATTAAAGTGACAAAGACAGATACTCTCTGATTGAATGCGCGACAATCAAATGATCAATCTCTATATCGTACAATCTTTATTTCATCATACAATACCCTTATGTGGTTGTAAATCATCTCGCGCATCTAAGAATTTCCACAACGCCTTCACTTTTTCCTGACGACTTACGCTGCTGTCTCTCGTAAACACCAGTTCCATATACGCCTCCTCATCTGTCGAGTCCATTTTGAAATCGCAACAAGCGCGTATGCATAGTGCAAACGTGACATCACTTCCGGCCTCCATAAATGTGAACTGAGCATCTAGTGAAATCGATTATCGAATATCGATCTGGTTACAATCGCTGCTCGGTCGATAAGAAGTGCAAATTCACGAGCCTCCTTGATGCGGTACGAATGGCGCCATGTTTAAGATCGCAATCTGTAACCTAGAATTATTTTCGCCTGCATATTTCCATTCTTGAGGAGGGCTTCGTACGACAAGACATACCCACGATTTCATCTCTCGTTATTGTCTATCGGTCTTTAATAGCAATTAAATGATATCTTACGTGAATTTCGCGAAGTGTTGTCAAATATATTTACACTCGGTCGGAAGCAGCAAACTGAATAACGACGATGATGTCATTGCCCCGAGAAACTGAGCGGTGCGGCGCAACGCCAGCAGGCAACCAGTGAGGCTGTCAAGATGGCCGTCATGTACATCTGATCGGAGGTGGTGCGAAATTCGACGCCGATTCGCGATAAAACGGAGCCATGTACTTCGTATCATTGGGACGGTGATCGCACGAAGACAGCCGGCTGATATCGATGCGGACCATCCTGGCTGCAGTCGATGGTTGTTCCTATCCTCGCGGCCGCCAGCGGCTCGCAGTGAACCATGTTCAGCAAGAAACTCCATGTAGACGTTAAGAAGTCAACGCTGAAAATCCAGGATGTCAAGAAGGACAGCGCGACGCGATTTAAACATCTTAAAATCGTGCTAGGTGAGCACATGGTGCTTTGCTTCAGGTGACATAACAGCTGTTCAGTGGTGAGCACATCCAGGAAGAATGTTGAGGAGGAAGCATACTTTTGATAACTGCTTACTCCCACACACTGGTGCAGACACCCTAAAGTGGGATGCAATGATCTTGTCTATAGTGGAAGCTGCTGATACCTTTGCATATTGTGTACAGTTTAAAAATGTAGCATCGTATCCTTTGGCAAGTGGTGTTTCAGTTTTTATTTCCTACATGCTTATTTCAACCTTATGAGGTAGTATAGAAAATTGTTTTTTTTATTATTAAAGAATGTGAAAAGCTCATTTGGCATAATCTATTTGCCTTTTAGCAACAAAAAATATCACTGTAAAATATTTTAGCATTTAATATATTTAAACTATTGATTGAAAGTAGTATCAATAACATAATTTTATACTGATATGCTTTAAAAGTCCAAATAGTTAAAAGATATAGTTAAAAACATAATGCATGAATATATATTTTACTCTTTACGGCAGATTTTTCAGAAGACATATAAGCTTACATGTCTTACTGTATAAGATATATTTTATATAATATTTTTAATAACTTTAACAGTAGGAAATATAAATAATTATTTGTTATAATTATTATTTTGAAATATAAATAATTACTCATATAAGCTTTTGCTTATTCAAGGAAATTATTGTAAAATGGTATGAGTTTTCATCTATACCTTAAGAGAAAAAATATCTTAGCCATCACATCGTCATGTGTATGCATCATCTGTTTATTACATGTCCTAGTTAAAAGGAAAAAGAATATAAATCCATGCAGTTATAGGATTGTGGTTTCTCGGTGTTATGAGAGGTAGTCAGTATCTAATCACCAAACCGCATGACCACATTGACCAACCTGTGGCCTCCATCTCTGGCTAAAGTTACATTATTATTACATGTTCCATGTATCTTTACATACACAACTTGAACCACTAATAATAAGAATTGTTCCTTTTTGATGATTTTAAGTACCAGATATACATTTATCAATGCAATATGGTTACAATCATAAATAAATATGTATATAGATCAATATCTTGTAATATTATAGATAGTATATTTATTCCACTTTATGATTTTTGTTCTCAATTCCTACTGTAGTTATTAATTCTGAAATATTAGAATACGCAATTATACAGTACCATTTTTATAATATATATACATTTAAAAATAGAAAAAAAACAGTATTGCTATATAAGTACAAGTATTCAAGACCAGTCATGATGTAACAGAATTTCCACAGTTCTCTGTATAAGGCATATGTGTCACAAGAGAAAGGTTTCTTTTTACACTTCCATCTACTTATAATTACCATCTACTTATAATTAATATAAACCTCCATTTTCATCTGCTTGTAATTAATGTGCTATTTTCGATTATTATATACTTCAAAACAATATATCAATATGTATATATCTTTTTTACTTATGTTAAAGAAAATGTGGACACTGACGAGGCAAAGGGATTTTTTGAAGGGAACTTCAGCCATGTCTACTTCATCTTGTATGATTGTTTTGTATCTGCTGAAGCGAATCTTCGACAACGCGGTAAGTAAAAAAATTAAACCAATATTCCTATGTAAAGCACTATAAATAAAGCTAACTGTCTTACTACTGTCTAGCTTTAAATATTTTCATGCTTACACACATCACTTGTAATTATATATCATATTTAACTATATAACATCTCATTGCTTTCAAAATTATAATTTTTTTATTAATACAATATTTAAATATTATCACTTTATTATCTCTTCCATTTCTTTTCATTTCGCTGCCAGAGCTTTCCTTCCATATTGGTAAGTCACAAAATATTATATTATTACTCTAGCTTGATTTTTTATTATTCGTTTGTTGCTAAATAACATCTCTTATTTATGAACACATTATAAACATTATGTCTTAGAAATTTATGCAAATATCACTTTTGAGTTATTTTAGTCATGATATTTGCTGCAAATTTTATATAGCATGATTTAAGGATGATTAAGATAATTTATTTTTCCTTTATAGTGCATAAGGCACACAGGGAAGAGTTAGAACAAGTATTGCAGCTCTTGGAAAAAGTTTTGACTCTTCTTCCTGAGCTGCTTAATAGACGATGGCAATGCCACAGTCTAGCACGGATTCTACAAAAACTTTTACATCCTGGTAATAGTTGGAAACTTCGCAGACAAGCCATAAGGTATATCAATAGTTGGTCAAGACATATTTATGTAAAGCAATGTGTATGACATTGTGAATGTTTTAGATACTTCGTTCTATGGTACCAAGCTCTTGGCGAAAATGCTCCCGAACATATACATCAGATGTTCGCCAGTTTGGTGCCGGGATTCCCACCGCATCAAGCATCGCCTTACAAATGTGATCGTAAAACTGACGGCAAGAAGGAAAAGCTTGCGAAAGCGACTAACCAAGAGGAAAAAGATAAGAAAGAATTTTATGATACACAACTTGTGCTAAGTACTTTTCATGACAATGGATCAAATCAGTGTCCTATCAGTCAAGTTGACGGCGGGCCTATCTTACCACCCCAAAGTGGAGAGAAGCCACTTGACAATGAAACTGTTAGGTTTTTGGAAGCGTTGCTTGAATTTATGGTTACTCAGGTATATAGTTTAGTTATATTCTCTCACTTTTTCAATTAAATTTCGCTTAAAGATATATGCGATAAAAGTGATTTATTATGAATAATTATCTATTTATTATTCAGGTGGTAAAGATAGAATGGCGAGATAAATCTACACGGCAACACAAAACTTTCCAATTTTTATTAGAACGTTTTAAGGCTACGTATCTTCGTCACATTTGTCCAGAATTTGATGACACCTTTTCACTTTATAAACCTAATCTAGAATTGCCCACAATACGAAAACCAATGAATCAAAATCATGATAACTACGTGCTTTGCAAAGTGGCTCTCATTAAATGGATCGCAAGCTTCACGCACGTCGCTAGAAAGGACGGTCTTTTTGCCCATCTTTCGCAAAGGTAACATATTTCATGCATTTATATAGTTTTTTATGAAACTTTAAAACATCATCGGATAATTTGATAATTAATGTAAACTACAGCACAACACCGAACGAGGAAAATGCCGAGTCGGAATTGCGTCGTGTGTCGGTTACTCAAAATTCTACGGATTCGAATCTGTTGTCACCTGAATCAGCCGTGTCTCAACAGGACAATCAGAATCAAGAAGACAGCACCATCTCGGCAGTGACATTAGTCAGGGAAGTTTTATACGGAAATAGGGATAACGTGAACTTCGTACACGAACTATACAGACAGGCGTTTCTTCTGGATTTCAATCATGCTGGTGCTATACGAAAGGCTATCGCCGTTTATAAGGATTGGATTCAGATGAACGTGAGTTTCGAAGATTATAAAATTATCTATCGTATATGAGTGTTCGCATAAATTGTTGTTGCATCTTCAAACTCTTTACAGGAAATTCCTCCGTTTATGTTGGAACCCTTGGATGGTCATAAAGATCGAGACTTGGAGGATAATCAAAGAAAAGATGTTAATGAAATGGAGAAGAGTCCATCCGAAAGTTACCGTCAGACGAGATTGAGAAACGATTCTTATCTTGGAGCTATACATCGAGAGAATTTATTCATCAGGGCTGGTTTGCAGAATGTCCTACAGGTTTTCATTACGCAAGCGTCAAATGTATTCTTTCTGGAGAATTTAGGACTGAATGCATCCGCGACGTTACTCGAGGAGCAAACCGACAGTTGTAAAAGAGTCTTGAATGTGTATCGATACGTTGTTATGCACTCCAGACTGGAACCAGCAACTTGGGAACAGTTATTGAGGTACGTTGTTGATTGACTTCTTCTTTCTCTTATGATTCTGCATCGTTCTGCAACGATTAATCTTTCGGACTCGTCAGGGTGTTACTACAAATTACATCTCTTGTGCTAAGCGAGAAATCCTCTCGTCGCAAGCATCAAGAAAGTATCGGCGGGAAACTCGCGCCTGCCATATTCCAGACTCTAATTGTTACATGGATTAAGGCTAACTTAAACGTGGTTATTTCTACCCAGCTATGGGACCAGTTTCTAGAGGTGTTAACATCATTAACGCAATGGGAAGAATTAATTCGAGAGTGGGCGGTGAGTGCGACAAAGATCTCGCGATAAACTCTGACTCATATTTGTGATGAATAATGACCTTTTAATGCTTGAACAGAAAACACTGGACACGTTGACGAGAGTACTGGCGAGACACGTGTACAATTTGGACTTGAATGATCTACCGTTGGATAGACTCAGCGAACAAAAATCAAAGAAGCGACGTGGCGTTGGGAGTCGCGCAGCGTCAACCGGGAGTGTTCAGCCACCCCGGACAGGTAGCGTCGATCAGGAGAACAATGCCGCGCCGAAGGAGAGCGTCACAGGTAATACAAAACACACAGTCTTCCATTTTACTTCTTTATTGCAATATCGATTTGGCAATAGGTTGTGAAATGTTTGAACTTCTACCAGATCACCCGCTACGAGACTTGAGAAAAGTGCGACCGCTTCCTCGCAGTGCAAGTGACAACACTATATATAACAGCAAGACTCGCACGAAGTTGCAAAAAAATCGCACGCATACGATACATAGCGGCATTCCTGGTAAGTGAGTCATGTGCAATTAGCACTTCATTTATACTAAAATGTTCTTTTTTTTTCTTTTATTTTTATTCAAAACTACACGACGAAAATCTTTGGCAGTGCCCTCTGTGTTTGCTGACAGTGTGCGCAATTTATTTATAACTGCTCCTTATTTTTTTCGCTTTGGCGCTGACACCAGGGTTAAAAATAACTCCTCTCGTGTTCTCAGACATACAGTAGTTTCATATCATTCTTTTTCATGAAACTACCACTCCCGTAACACAGCGCCCATCGTCGCTTGTTCTAATTCTTTAATCGACATGTTGCTCGCGCGTGAGAACGATTTTGACTGAACCTCTCGTCGTTGAGTACATCGTCACATCGTGTCTCTGTATCCTATTCCTGAATTAAGTGTAAACATTTTCCACACGTGCAGTACTCCCCCTATCGATAGAACAAGATATGGCGCGGTTACTGTCAAACGGCTCGACTTCGTCGTCGTCAGCGACCGGCCGAAAGATGTTACCTAGCAGACGTGCCAAATCTTTGGATAGCATTGTTGTAGTTGATAGCGAACCACCGTCGCCACGATGTCCGTCACCGACACCCAGCAGTGGCGTTGACAGCAACAAAGATAGTCCCATACAGATAGAGAATATTGATGGTAGCAGTATCGGTATGTATGGCTTGTCGTCTGTATGATATATCTTTACAACACGTACAAAATCCGTCGTTGCGAAGTGTGAGAATTTCGACATCTCTGAAATGTTATACCTTTGTTCTGTGTTTATAATCCCTCATAACACCTCATATTTAATTGAACAATATTCCCCTTATTAACAATACATTGCGCTTTTTTGACGCCACACCATCGAGACGATAAAAAACAATATTGAAGCATATTCAAGATATTTCTTCAAATTAAAACCTGTGCTTTTCAGATACTGACAGTATCGCTCTCTTTTTCGTCTGCTTTCCAGATTTATACATCATTTAATAGAGCCATATGTCAAGCTTGTAATAATTTTTCTCATTGTGCAACGTGTTAAAAAATGTGAACCTTAATCGAGCATACGACAATTTTAATCTATAAATAATGCGGTAAATTATATATTACTTAAAGTAAGATATGTTTAATCGTGTTTGGAAATATATTTGTATATGGAATTAATGAATCGTGACATATATTTAGAAAGCTATTATTATTCTGCAGATACAAACGATGCATCAGAGAGAAGATCAGTTATGGCAGGTGGAGGGGTCCGTGGATGGTTGCCAGATGTGGCTGTTGTTTTATGGCGACGTATGCTGTCAGCATTGGGAGACGTGAATAACATTCAAGACCCTACCTTGCACGGTCAAGTCATGGATTATCTCGTGCAACTCACACAAACATTGATTAAAGTAAAAAGTTTTATTTTTTACCGGATTTAGAATGTTAATTTACATTCAAAATAGAAGATATCGTCCAACCATATTTTCATATTCTTCCATATGTTATTTAGATACGTTTAAATCAAGGAATATCCGGGGATAATCAAGCAACGCCCCCAGCACCAGAGCTGATTCCACCTTTAACAGTAATCGCTCCTTGGTGCTTCAAGGTATACAAACGTATAAGAAGTGAGAAATGATATTTTTCGGTGCTCATCTATATATTTCTCATAGGCAATCCAACTTCCTGAGCAGTACGAAATCGGCAAGCTAGCAGCTTATCGTCTTATATGTCTTTTAACGGTACAACCACTGGACATCAGTCTACCTAAGCAGCATTTAACACTGTTCTACCGCGCCGTTCACAGTGGTATCGCTAGTAAAGATAATAATATTCTGCATGTACTTGTAAAGTACACAGGACCTAGATTATTCAGCCTGAATCTCCCTGGATCGAGTCTTCTGATTTTGGACTACATACACGCTGCTAACGTGATACTCGGCAGTCAAGACGTTGAGGTATCATCATATCTTTAGTGTTAGCTTTCCCTTTGAATTAAACATAAACTCAACGTTTATCTGCTAATATATACACATTCCGCATTCTTTCTAGGCACCAAGAACTGAAGCAGTTTCTATTATCGGCTCGTTGTTATCTTTACCCGCTGCGATGTTCAAGCTACCTATGCTACAACCGAAAGGACCTGATATTATAACAATGACGTGCCCAGAGGCAAAAGTAATTTCTTGTCTTTGCGCAAAATTTCATGATATAATTGAGCACATGTCTCAACGATAAATTTTTATAATTTTATTATGTTGAACTTTACAGGAACACATTGTAACGATACTTTTGCGGAGTTGCCGCCGAGAACCAACCGGAATCGCGAGATGCGTGGCTCTATCTAGCATCGCGATGTTCGTGTATAAAGAATTGTCTTACAAAACGCAACATCCGAGAATCCCGGAAGCTGTCACCGTTCTTCTTCTTGCGCTTAGAGTAAGTACAATTTTTCCCAAGTTTTAAATTCTAAATTTATTTGGATTAGATATCCCTTATGATCATATAAGACCACAAACAGCTACTGATGCACAGATCTAAGCCCGTGAGACTTTGGATATTGAATGCATGACAAAGAGAGAATTACCTCTGCGATTTTAGTTGCTTAATAGTCTGCACAGTTTGCAGTGTTTTAAGTTAAACACTATACATATCACATGGAATGCACCGCTGCTATACGTGAATGTATATTTTTAAAAAGTGAGAGAAAGAGAGGTCCATTTAACAATATCTAAGGCAGACATATTGCCATAGTAGTAAGGTGAAAGTAAATATCTCTTTCATTGAGTGTTATTGACAGCGGATGCAAGGAGCAGAGCGTCGCAGAGCTGGTTTCCATTTTCCTCTAATGGATCAGGTAGCCCTTCTTTTTTTTTTTTGCCTCAGTGTAATTGTGTTAGCTCTTTACCATGTGGTGTTGATAGTTCTGGACTGCTACCTGCATTCTATGAGGATATCACAGACTTTGCATGTCCGTATTGTTCATGCTATGTATATATGTGCGAAATAATAAGTCGTTGCAGTCTACGATGATGTGTGGTCTTATTCATTGTTCCCATATACTTGCTAATGAGCGAATTCGCCATGTTATTAACTCAATGTTGATAATTGTACGAATATATATAAATTAATTCCTATAGGCAGTCAATCGGTGCTTTATGGTTATATATTGATCTTTATTTTTCAGGCCTCGCACGCCACGATAGCGCAGGTTGCTTGTGACTCTCTCTTGCTTCTCTGCGATAAGGCTGATGTGCTGCTAGAATTGTATCCCAACGTGCCATCTAAAATAATCCAGGTACAAATACACAAGTATACATCTTAAGATCTAATTTGAGGCTCGAATGAATAATAAGACTTTTGCTGCTCGATATTTAGGTTTTGTCAGATACACTCGGACGAATGACGTCGCGAGAAAGACAAGGGCCCTTGACCGTGTCGATGCTGTTCTGCTTGGGCGAATGGGCTATGCACCTAGGACCGACAGTATTACTGCGAGTGTTTCAGGGGAAACCTCTGTTGATGACACTATTTACAGTTAATATTAATACCTTGTCTCGCATTCTTTACATGGCATAATTTCTTTCGACGGTTTCTGAATGGATTTTTCATTACGTAGGTATTGAACAACATAGTGCAGAATAAAGTTGGAAAAGAATCTTCCCAATCAGCTAATAAGAATAGTCAGGAAGAGGGTAACGACTTTGAATTTGACATTACATTTGACAATTTGGTCGACGAACCCTCCTTGAAGTCACCTCACAAAGGAAATATCCAGTCTGTGCAATTGGCAGCGAAAATGGTAAGCTGATTATCTAATTGTATATATATATATATATGTACGTCCATAGCAATCTAAACGACTTCAAATCCAGGTAATGATGCACTTGATCAATCATCTGGGACATTTTCCAATGGGTATCGGAGCCGCGCGTCTCTCGTCGTTAGTCGTCGAACTGGATGATGTCCCTGGTATCGATGGGGACGAGCTGTCCTCCGCCGTTTTTCAAGCACCTAATATTCAGCTATTAATGCTCTCAAATTCCATCATAATGTCACTGGTGGAGTTAGCGGCATTGGACGCACCTGGCGGTGGTGTTACCGCCGGCTTAACTACAGCTCCTTCATTGGTCAGAGTTCTGTTAAGAGATCTTGCTGGGAAGGCCTCTTGGGACAGTTCAATATTATACAGCCAACCCTTTGTCGACGATGATCTGCCGCTGCCATTTGCGAAGCCTAGTAATAATTTTTATTTATTCATTCTCTTCGCTCTTTACCACACATCGTGTTATAGTATTTGAAAGATTACAGCTACGACGAGCGTTTGTGACTAATTTCAGTTGACTGGAGCGCGAAATTACATACGGACGATTTGAACAGTGTTATCACACCTCACAATTGCACACCTAGGCACACAATACGACATCGTGAGCCCCATATATTGCCGACCTTTGCAAACGCTGCAAGTGATATGGACAATTTGGACGATGTAAGTTATAGCATCGTTACAATTATATTAATATATTATGCCTTGTGTGATGCATTGTTATTACTAAAAGATTGCGTGTCTTTAGCTTCTTCAGTACATAGGGCATACCAGTCCAGAAGTTCTAACTAACCCAGAAGTTGCCTTGAATGCACCCGCTAACCCACCTCATGGACATTATCTGGAAAGCGAGACCATCGCTACGATTTTAAGCCAGAGAAATGCAGAGCAAGAACACATCAACAATTGGAATCAACACATCAGGTTGCATCTCCTATTTTTGGAAGATCCTTAGTAAACTTGCCTTATCGTCGATCACTACATTATTGCGATTTGACGTTTCACTTAATCTCGATGTCGCAACGTCTGATTTTAGTATGTGCGCGTCAGCAATCAGTCCGCCGTCGTGTCGTCCGCCCCCGGCACCATTTCATCACTGCCGCCTTCTGTTTTCACATCTCGGTTTATCCGGTTGGGAGCAACGTAGAAAATTGCATTTGCTGGCGAAGAACGAGAAACTCTTGCGCGAACTTCGCAACCTAGACAGTCAACGGTCCAGAGAGACCCACAAGATAGCAGTGATTTACGTCAGCCAAGGCCAAGAGGACAAGAACTCCATACTAAGCAACGTCACTGCCAGTAAGGAGTACGAGAGCTTCATCGCGAGACTCGCCTGGGAAGTGGAGCTGGAGTCGCATACGGGTTTCCTTGGCGGCCTGGTGCCCGGGAAAGCGTCCGGCGTTACGGCACCGTATTACGCCACGTCTTTTACCGAGATCCTCTTCCACGTTGCCACAAGGATGCCGTCAGATAGTCCCGAGAGTTTATTGCAGAAGGTATCTCGGTCATAGTTTTCCGCAAATTGCTTGCGCGGTTATTTCTCAGTGTGAATTCACCAAGTGTTTGATTTCAGACGCGACATCTTGGTAACGATGAAATTCACATCGTCTGGTCGGAGCACTGGCGAGATTATCGCAGAGACATCATACCCACAGAATTCTGCGATGTCCTAATAGTCATTTACCCGCTGCAAAATAAGTTGTACCGGATACAGATTTCGCGGAAATCGGAAATTCCTTTCTTCGGACCTCTTTTCGACGAGTGCATCGTGGAGGACAAGGTGCTGCCAGGTCTGGTGAGAACGACCGCATTAGCCGCGAGTAGAGCGAAGAGATCTACGCTGACGTTGTACCAACATTAGTAAGTAACTGATTTATGTGAGTACGGATTTTTGTACGAATACAAGAGATTAATATTGCTGAAATATCAATTGCAGCTATGAGGAGAGGGCCCGATCTATCGACACTGTTATGAGAAATCACAAGGAAGCTACGACATTCGAGGAGTTCACGGCCAATGTGTATTCACCGGTGCAACCGCCAAGCCCGTTCAGCGGAGCTTCGTCTGTCTCCGGTGAGTGAACTCGAATTTGAACTCAACTGAAACATCGCCCGAGCATTTCGTAGAATAATTAATTAGTCCTCTACTTCCTTTATCATCCGAACAGAGAAGCGATTTTCTCTTTAAGATTGCACATGCCACTACATTGTAAGGCTGTTTGTGGAAGTTTATCATTGTTATTAATATATATGTATCGCATTGTCAGGATCTACAATAAGCGTACAATCTACAGCATCGTCAAACCTCGCAGCAGCGCTTATAGATTCGCATCAAGGACGCTCCGGTCTACGCAGTACTTCGACAACGAGCAGTGACAACCGTGCGAATAGAGGTGACTAATTCAGTCCACTAACCCCCACCCACCTTATAACACCACCGAACAAGGTAGTATTATTAGTTATTTATTATTTCTCCGTGCCGTTTTTCCAGCGTCTTATCTGACATTATATCCTACGTCTCTATCTGTCTGTCAAGTAGATGTTAACCGATCGTCTGAATCATAATTCAGTGAACGGTTTCGTGGAACGTCTGCAAGAAATTGCAGATGAATGTGCTCTGGTGCGCGTACGCGCGCAAAAGTGAATACTCCTTATTAAATGAGAAGAAAAAGAGAGATTAGTGCATTGCGATTTTATGATTTTAACTTTTATGTTGTAATACTCTGTGTGTAATAACGCTAACGTAAGATGCGAGACCACAAAAGATATAATCCTGCCAGACACGGCGACAAAGTAACAATTTTTCAAACCACTTCTCTTTTCTTTAACACATTTCTATGTCTCTTAATTAACCTTTTGTTTGGCAGTCTTGCAAAATATATTCAGAGGTAATCTTTCTCTCTCCACTCTATGAACACTAAAGATAGCATGTCCTGATTATTATTTTCTTCTTGCGTTTATATGTGTTTTATGTATGTGCTGTTCTTTAAATATCGCTTTGCAGCAGGAACTTCTAGACGAAGAATATTGATGCATCGCTGAGATGTTTTTCTTGTTTTTATCTCCTTTCTTTTCACTGCACGCTTATTTTTCTTACTAATGTCTATGCCTCTCTCTCTCTCTCTCTCTCTCTCTCTCTCTCTCTCTCTCTCTCTCTCTCTCTCTCTCTCTCTCTCTCTCTCTCTCTCTCTCTCTCTCTCCTCTCTCTCTCTCTCTCTCTCTCTCTCTCTCTCTCTCTCTCTCTCTCTCTTTTATATGAGCATCTGTTTTCTAGCTAAAACTACTACGTGGCTTTTTCGATTAGTGATATATGAAATCGTGCAGTGTAATGGTGTTTTTGCAATTGTTTCCAGTTTCTGACGGAAGCAGGGTGTGGTTTAGCAATGACACCCCCGAGAGTACCACTCTTCACGGCATTTCACCGAGACCTATAAAAAAAATGTCTTTTAAAACTGGACCGAAACAGAGAGCTAACACACAACCCACTCCTCCGGATAGTCCGAGATACAAATGAAAGGTTTCCTATTCGAGCCGAGAAAACGCTTCGCACAACTGTTTATGAATGGGGTCACCGTGTGTTGTACTTTAAAGGAATTATTTGGGCAAAAATTATAGAGACGAACGGCTAATAATGACTAGAAAACTCTCCACTGTCAAGAGCTTCACGCGTCATGCGAATTAAAGATATCAGCGTGGTGCGTAGTTGATACTTTCATCAACTAATAGATTTCGTTTACAGTGGAGATTGAATATCTGATCATAGTCTTAGCGTTTTCTGTTTTCCGTCCTTAGATTTAATTTTTATATTAAATGTACAGATCGTTGTTTATTTGTTGCAACGTGAATATTAATTTATTGCAAGGTGAATATATATGATAAATTTATGAAATCATAGATACACAATTAGGTGCATATTTCTCATAGACTTATCAATGTCGAGAGACAGCTATTTACACTGTACAGCACTTTCTTAAAATTGTTTTACCATAGTATTTATAGTATCAATAGCTAAAGTAATTATTCTAGATTAAAATTTCTATCTTAAATAATATTGAGAGAAAGTAGCATATATAGAAATACTAACATCGCAAAAACACTCTTCAGTACTGCTATATGGCCTTATAACTATCTTATTTGTCACAGTATATAGACGTAGAATAACTTTTACTATTTTACTATTAATTGGCAGAAAATAAATGCGAGAGAATTTACAACTAAATGTTATAGAGCTTGTTAATTTGTATGTTGAAGTCATGTCTCCAACATGGGACTAAGGTGAATTCGATAATTGTGTTAGCTTGATTTGAAGCGAGAAAATAGATATTATCGTAATCTAAATGAAGTGATTTGTGGACACTGTCAGAAAAAAAGAAATACTTAAGTTATACATTCCACACGCGTATATTATCTTGTTTTTAATTTACATTTCATTTGTACTATTAATGAGTTATCGAACCATTCCATCTGAATGTTATATTCGTAATTTTCGATAGATACGTTTATTTTCATTTTTTGATGTTTTACAATATATCAACATTATCTCTTTCATATTATTCAAAATAATATGAAGAGATCGCAAACGGAATCGCCGAATTTTGTTTTCATACCAAAGTTGAAGGTGCTTAATATTTTATATAATATGAGCGAATTAAATATTTCGAATATGATGTAAAACCAGAAATAATCGCCAGAAATTTCGTAAATATCAAGACGATAGAAGACAAAGAGAAAATCTGAAAGTAAATTTATTCAACACATTGAGTAAGCAATGACTTTTTGCTTTATATAAATCATCCAAATGTTCTATACAAATCATCCTAATTATCCTAAAGTGATATAATCAAAGTATTAATATTATATCTAATATATTAACGGACAGCGGATTATAATACAGGATTAACATCGTGGTAACGATCGATGCGGTATTCGAGATGAGATTTTTCTAGAGGTATACACTTCACGATGATAAACTCTGTGTATAATTAGAGTTTTTTGACCATTTTGAAGACTACTATGAAACACATTCAAAAGTGTAGGTATTAGCAACGAAGATGTAGTTAATAATAATTACTGATGCGCAGATCATGGCCAAAGCAGCATTATTTTTTCACTAATTTATAATGAGGTAGAACAGAGGGAAGCAGTGTATGTATTGTATATAAATTGTTAAGCATACGAAATGGTTATTTAAAATTCCGAATATATGTCATATTATATCGCCACATCAGTAATATTATATATTAATTGAAACATACACATACACACACATACACAGTATATAAAGTTCATTTATCATTATAATATGCAAGAATGCTTTTATTGATTGTATTTAAACGTTGTACTTAACCAAATATTTTTATTAGTATTGCTACCGCTATTATGCTATTATTTAACTTCTTGAAGTACGAATTGTTCTTAATATTAGAACATTGTCGATATATCTTTTTTATATTACGTTTAATTTTGATAGAAACAGAGATTAGCGGATGCAAATAGGAGTAGTAAGGGACAAAGAAAATGTAAAAAGTTTTGTTTTTCCTGAGAAACAAGCTGGAATCTTTCTCTTTGTTTCCAACAGGGAGAATATTTAATAGAATAAAAGAAGCCTAAAAGAGTAGAATATTCGAATCTTTTAATTTTATTAATTTCAATTTTATTAAACTGTTTTTTGTACAAGAATAAAGTCGTGCTATATGTGTGTAAATATATTGCAAACGTTTACATATATTAATATTTATGCGGAATAACATGTAATAATCTTATGGTATTTCTCCACTTACAAAGTTAATTATTTCTGAGAGAATTAAAACATTAAGGCGTATATATTTAAAATGTCGTCTTGCTATGCAGCGATTTCTGTAATTCTGTATTAATATAAAAAAAAAGGAAAAGAAATATATACTAATATATATTTATTATTTTCTACAGAAAGCTGCAAAGCACTAAGTGTATATTTATCCGATTATCTTTCTATCTATATAATAATCACGTGTTGTATAATAACTTCGTTGATTTATGCTCATTTTTCGAAAAGAGCTATTATATATTTTATTCTATAATTGTATAATTCAATATACGAGAAAGATGTAAAATTCATGGAATTTGAGTTTTGTGGCGTCAGTGACATATATATGGCAGTGATGTTATATACAATTCTCGTCACGGAATACCGACGATTTGTTCTTGCACAAAGTCTATCACGTAATTAACTCTTCAAACTTTATCAACTTTATGCAGTACAGCAATCAGTCGCATTGCTTCGATATCTGTACAGCGTTTTCAAAGGTGTTCAAGAAATATTATTCTTCTGCCATAAAAATTTGTTGTCCAAAGATATCTCGCTGCTATTGCATTAATTGTACACATCTCTGTAATGGACTGTACATTTTACTGCACAATAAAATTGTGATGAATTACGGTGAAAATAACGTTTACTTTCGTCTGGAATATATGATTAAAAAGTTAATTTAGGAATGAGGAGTATATGATATCAAATCAATTATCATTATCTATATAATAGAAATTCAATTTTCATCATTTATATAATAAAAATAAAAATTTCATTTTCATGCATTACATTTATAGTAGAAATAATGGATTTTAAATACTAGCGGGAAACATTTTTAACCGGAAATACATTATAATTTTGGATTTAGAGCAGAGCAGGGGCCCTATTCTTGAACTACTTGCGTATACGTAAGTGACAAGTTTCGTAAGTGACTAATTGCAATGGAAAATCCCTAGAACCGTATTCTTGACAGTCGCAAGTGAAACGTATACGCAAATTATCATTCACAATGCAACGAATGGGTAATACCATCCGTTTCTCTCGAAACGTATGTGATACGTTATACAAAATACAGAAAGTGGAGTATAAGAGTACACATAGAAGCACACTGTTATTAAGAAGAAGAAGAATTCGACTAGGACGGCTAAAAGAGTGGAAAATAATAGCTGACTTTACATATCCGTAAGAGAAATAATAAATACGAAATTTAAGAGAAAATAGCATATAAATTTCATTGCATTTTAATTATAGAGGAAAACTGTGTAACAATAATGAATTTAGACGATATAATAGTAAACATACAAGTCATAAATGCGTTAGAACATGCAGAAATAATGGAAGAACCAAGAAGATTTTTCCATATTAGTTTCATATTTTCCACTTTGTTCTGCTGAACGCAGCCAATTAAAGTTCGTCGTATCGTATTTTTGGTCGATATTTGCAGAAAATACATGTTTTCCAATGTTGTCAAACGTAATTAAACGCAACGGAAAGCGTATACGTTTTTAGTTGCGAATATTACATAATTAAGTTCAAGAATACCATGTCAGAAACGTATACGCTTTCCGTTGCGTTTAATTACGTTTGACAATATTGGAAAACATATGTATTTTCTGCAAATATCGACCAAAAATACGATACGACGAACTTTAATTGGCTGCGTTCAGCAGAACAAAGTGGAAAATATGGAACTAATATGGAAAAATCTTCTTGGTTCTTCCATTATTTCAGCATGTTCTAACGCATTTATGACTTGTATGTTTACTATTATATCGTCTAAATCCATTATTGTTACACAGTTTTACTCTATAATTAAAATGCAATGAAATTTATATGCTATTTTCTCTTAAATTTCGTATTTATTATTTCTCTTACGGATATGTAAAGTCAGCTATTATTTTCCACTCTTTTAGCCGTCCTAGTCGAATTATTCTTTTTCTTAACAACAGTGTGCTTCTATGTGTACTCTTATACTCCACTTTCTATACTTTGCATAACGTATCACATGTGGTGGTTCGAATCTATACTACCGCCAAAACTGCGCTAGGAAAGTCTAGAGCAGGTCGGTAAAGATAGGCGGCTACAACTCGCACAGACCAGACACTAGAAATTACCACAATCGGCGTTGGGCTCTGCGAAGCCGCGTGGCTCGCTATCGCGCTCGGTTATATCCCAGACGGTTGAATCTTAACTGCGACCAGCGATAACGATGAGGGTGTCGCGTAGCGGCCGCGAACGGCACTAGTCGCTACGCGCGGGACGCTGGCGTGCTCGCCTGCGAGAAACCGACGAGAGTCAGGCCGTCCGCCACGCAGCACTGAATCAACGACTCTTATAGTATGCAGGTTGTGGTAACGTGACGGAATGTCGTTGCTTACACATTTCCGAACAGTAATAATTTATAAAAGTTCTTTGTATATATATACGTATATAGAGTTAAGAAAGCAGTGATATAATATTACAATTTTATTCAAACAGAATGAAGAAGATTTGCCATATGAGGAGGAGATTTTACGAAACCCATATTCGGTAAAACACTGGCAACGCTACATTGATCATCTTAAAAATACTAAAAGTAAGAATCTAAATGTAGTATATGAACGAGCATTGAAGGAACTTCCTGGCAGGTATAATAGTCTACTTTTAACTATTTTTATAAGTTCTTATGTATTACTTTTCAAAAATCACATGTTATTAATACAGTTACAAGCTATGGTATAATTATCTTCGACAACGCGTGAGTCAGTTAAAAGGTCGATGCATAACTAATCCATTGTATGAAGATGTCAATAATGCATTTGAACGTGCTTTGGTATTTATGCATAAAATGCCTCGTATATGGATGGATTATTGTACATTAATGACTGAACAATGCTATATAACACGAACACGTCAAGTGTTTGATCGTTCACTAAGGGCACTTCCTATTACACAGCACCATCGTATATGGCCATTGTATATCAATTTCTTGAAAAAACATAATGTCTATGAAACTGCTGTCAGAGTTTTTAGAAGATATCTAAAGGTAATAAATAATATTTGTTTCTAATATTAATTTATATATATATTGCTTATTGTTTTGTATGTTATATATATTCTTGATCAATATATATATATATATATATATAAATTTTGAAAAAAATTGCTAAGGATAATTTTGTTATATACTTATATTTGGTACTTTATATGCATATAGTTGGCTCCAGAAGATACAGAAGAATATATAGAATATTTAATATCTATTAAAAGACTTGATGAGGCTGCTGTAAAACTCGCACAGATTGTCAATCAAGATGACTTTGTGTCAAAGCATGGAAAATCGAATCATCAACTATGGAATGAATTATGTGACTTAATATCAAAAAATCCTTCCAAAATAAAATCCCTGAATGTGGATGCTATTATTAGAGGTGGCTTAAGACGGTATACAGATCAACTGGGACCATTATGGAATTCATTAGCAGATTATTATGTTCGAAGTGGTCTTTTTGAAAGGGTATCACCAACTTAATTTTTTCCAATTTTTTTTTTTCAATTAATGTTTTTTTATTTTACAATGTTACAAGTTATGAAGATGATATATTTATTTTTTTTCTTTAGGCAAGAGATATTTATGAAGAAGCTATACAGACTGTAACTACTGTTAGAGACTTCACGCAAGTTTTTGATGCTTATGCACAATTTGAGGAACTTAGTCTTAAGAAACTTATAGAAGAAGCAGCGACGAATCCTACTGAGGATGGTATATATAAATATACACATATGATTTTACATACTAACATATTTTTGTGTTAAATGAATTATTAATTAATTATATATTTTTATATTAGATGATATAGAATTAGAACTAAGATTAGCACGATTGGAACATCTCATGGAAAGGAGATTGTTGTTACTTAATTCTGTATTATTGCGACAAAACCCACACAATGTAGCAGAATGGCATAAGAGAGTTAAGCTTTACGAAGGACAACCACATGAGGTAAAAGAATATTGAAAATTTATGTATGAATTATGTACTTATAATCAACATTTCTGGTTGTAGATAATTAATACATATACAGAAGCAGTACAAACAGTACAACCACAATTGGCAGTTGGCAAATTACATACATTGTGGGTTGCTTTCGGTAAATTTTATGAAGAAAATGGTCAAATAGTGGATGCTAGAGTAGTATTTGAAAAGGCAACTCATGTTCCATACACCAAAGTAGATGATCTTGCCTCGGTATGGTGTGAGTGGGCAGAGATGGAAATTAGACATGGGTAAGATAATTTACAGTATATGCAATTTATACAAATATTACTGCATAAAAAAAAACGAAATAATTTAATGTGAATAAAATATGTTCTGTATTGCCTCATGGTAGAAATTGTAAAGAAGCTTTAAAACTCATGCATCGTGCTACAACAATGCCGGCTAGAAAAGTGGCTTATCATGATGAAACAGAGACAGTGCAAATGAGATTATACAAATCTTTAAAAGTATGGTCTATGTATGCAGATTTGGAAGAAAGTTTCGGAACATTCAAAGTAAGTCTGTTATTACACTTTCCTTTACTTAAATAGTTTGTATTGCATCAGTATTTTTAATTTTTTATATATGTTTATCACGACAGACTTGCAAAGCAGTATATGACAAAATAATCGATCTAAAAATTGCAACTCCTCAAATTATTATTAATTATGGACTTTTCCTAGAAGAAAACAACTATTTTGAAGAAGCATTTAGGGTATGTGAAATACTTTTGATTGATTATACACATATATATTAATCCGATAGCATTTATACAAAATCCATTTTTAGGCATATGAAAAAGGTATTGCATTATTCAAATGGCCTAATGTTTACGACATTTGGAATACATATCTCACAAAGTTTTTGAAACGCTATGGCGGTACAAAATTAGAACGTACCAGAGATCTATTTGAGCAGTGTTTAGAATATTGTCCACCAAAGTATGCCAAAGGTACGACCAGCTATACATATTATCTCATATAAATAACAAGAAAATAACTAAATTCTATTTATTGCAGCTCTATATTTGTTATATGCGAAATTGGAAGAAGAACATGGCTTAGCAAGACATGCTATGTCTGTATATGAGCGAGCAACAAATGCTGTCCTCCCAGAGGAAAGATTTGATGTAATATTTTTCTTCCGCTACGAATACTTTATATATATAATTGCACATTTTTCTAAAGACAGTTTATATTTACGTATTTTTTAATTAAGATATTCTTAATGTTTGTATGTTTCATGAAGAAATGGATCGACCTTAGAAAATCTAAAAATCGGTTTCTCAATTTTCAGATGTTCAACATATACATAAAGAAAGCAGCGGATATCTATGGAGTACCAAAAACTCGGCAAATATATGAAAAAGCTATAGAAGTCTTGAATGATGAAAATACTAGAGAAATGTGCTTAAGATTCGCAGAAATGGAAACGAAATTAGGAGAAGTAGATAGAGCAAGAGGAATATATGCATATTGTAGTCAAATATGTGATCCAAGAGTATGATACCATATTTATAATATATTCTGTAATTCATATCTAATTGTACTATAATTCACTTGTGCATTAAATTAATATTAGGTTACGTCGAATTTCTGGCAAGTTTGGAAGGAATTTGAAGTTAGGCATGGGAATGAGGACACAATGCGTGAAATGCTTCGAATTAAGCGTAGTGTACAGGCTATGTACAATACTCAAGTAAATATGATGTCTGCGCAAATGTTAAACAATGCATCTAATCAAGTATCAGATGTTCCAGTTGATGCTATGCGTCTATTAGATAGTAAAATTCCATCAAGCACAGGTAATATAAGTTAACATTATCTTTTTTCTTGATGTATTTAATTTTTGCCTTAAAGAAAAAGAGAAACTTTATTATGTTTTATCATAAAATATCTTAAATTGTAGATAATACCAGCAACGTCAAAGGAAATATCAAGTTTGTACGTGGTGTAACAGAGAAAGATGGCAAGCCAGAGTCTCGTGTAAATAATCCGGATGAGATCGATATCGATATGGATGACGATGATGAAAACGATGCAGAAGTAGAAGGTATATATATTATGTTCATAAATAAATCGAAACACGTGAAATATTTTATTATATTTAAGCATAAAAGTTATCTCTCCTGCTCACACACATTAGATGATATAATCGCATTGTCGTATTATAGTTCCGGTAAGAATTTTCTTAACTGAAATTTTTAACAATAAAGATTATATCTTATTATCTGTTTGCACCTCCGAATCTAAATGCAGACAGATTTCATATTAATCAATAGTTTATCACTGAAATTTGATACATCATATTTGCCAAGTTCGTTATTTAATAATGCCTCGTTTATTTTTAGATATACCGATTGAAAAACAAGTTATACCATCGCAAGTGTTTGGTAGTTTAAAAGCAGTCGAAACTGAAGACGATTGAAAAGTTCACAAAATAGGTAGCATTATAATTGAATAAAATGTGTGTAGCAACTATATAATATTATGTGTGTATATATTATATTTAATTTTAGATATATCGGACTTATATTATTCAAAAGCAGTAAGACTTATACATGTTAATAAATAACAATATATACGAATATAATACATTTTAAATGTGACATTTGTACATTCTATATTGCAAAATATTTGTAATGTGTAACATAAAATATTTTATAACAATTTAAATTTATTATTCTTAAAGTACTATAATCAACGTAAATTTATAATTGACGAATGTTTTTATATCAATTTCGATTAATCCTATTTTAACGTTATATAAAAATTATCAGGCAACTATTTTCTTTTAGAGATATTTTGGTATGAAGATGCGAACGATAGTGATAATCTATTATGAATAAACTTCTCTGATACTATTTAATACTTTATTAAATATATACCCATATTAAATATTATAACGAGGTGGATTTATAAAATGGAGATCATTATACACCTCATCATTAAGAAAATTGCAATGCATTGCCATATGTTGCTTACGTATACCACCAAAAACTATTAGTTCTCCCTTTCCTGCTACAAGAGAATATAAAATCCTTTCATCAGGACCTGAATAATTGTCTTGCTTTAATGGAATCCATGAAGCACTGCAGTCATCAAGAACTTTCGTAATATCTAACACGAATATAGAAAATGTTTTCTCAGTTTTTTTCGATGCTTTTGCTTGTGCTTTTTTATTCTTAATTTTCTCCTCCATTCTCCTTAGCGATTCCAACTGACGCTGCCTAATCGTGTTTGAAGTACTATGTAAAGGTTGATCACGAAATGCGGCCATGCTCAATGAATTGTCACTAAACAATGGCATGGGAATCGGTACTGCCTTTGAGATATTGGGTATATATGATGAAGTACGTGCATTTTGCAAATGTGACCTGGAAAATGCTCCGTGCCGTCCATTCACGTTTTCATCCCTGTCTGGAGTAGATATATTCCTCGGCCTAAGAAAAAGTCGTCTGATTAATAATATCGCGAAATATTTCCTCTGATTATTAGTATAATGTAATTATCATACAGTTATGTAGATCTTAATAATAGCATTAAATTATGTGATACTTATAGATACTCACCTCCCGTGTAAAGGATTTGATTCATCATGTGGAGAAGTGCTTCTCTGACAAGCAGTCTTTTTTAATGAAATACTCATATCATTCGACTTGGTCTGACGCTTATTCTTGCTGAGTACAATAACATAATTCCCCACCTATATAAATAATAACATTGTATGTATTGAGCTAATATATTAATGGCAAACTTATAACTCCAAAATTATTGACATTAAAGAAAATATGATATATAATTGAAATCATTTAAATTCAAATATGAAAATATTTCCCATGCATGATATTACAGACGAATATAAATATTTGGCTTTAATATATATTACCTTACAAGCTTGATGACACCAAATACGTGTTGGTGCCCATTCTGTGTTGCACATAGTAACTTTCTTCCACATCCAAAATGGTCCTTCCATCTCCAACAACCAGGCATCATTCATAGGACTATTTGGCCCTGTGCAACCTCCTGACAATTTCAAATACAACAAAATTACTTTTAAGTATTTAGCTATTTTAATAAATAAAAATTCCAATTCAATATTGTTATGTTTTAATTAAATATATAAGCAGAATATTTTCAAATACATACATACATACATACATGTTAGAAATCACAGACAAATGAACACACATACACACTTTCTCTCTCTTTCTCTTTCAGATTTATATTACAGATTAAACTAGAAAAAAATTGTTTTACTTGTTTTGATGTTAAAAAACCTATCTTGTGAACCTGTATCTTGTAAAACCTGTCTTACCTAGAACAAGTAGGTGCTGTTCTCCGAGTTCAATTTGGGATTGCCCATAACGTGGTTCTGGCAGTATAAAACTTTTGAAAGTAATTTGTTTATGCCAACGATACGAATCTAAATTAAAGCACCATACATCATTGGAGCTGTTATAAAATAATGCAAGTAATATTAAAAAAGATATAAATATGAATGTCCAATATTTTAATGTTAATGTCCAATATTTCTATAGAAATATACCTCTCTCCATCACAAATACCACCAAAAACAACCATTGTATTTCCATGTATTGATGCAGAATGTGCAGATGTTGGCGGTGGAGTTACTAATGTATTTATAGCAGTCCACTTATTTGATTCTATAGAGTATATGTGTAATTCATTAAATAATCTCCATTGCTAGAAATATATAAAAATAAATTATATTAATATCAATTTCCTCTATAAAAGCTTACTAATTTTGATTTCAAATTTAAGTATATTTTGTATTTAACAAATTCTTGAAATAAGGTATATAAATTAGTAACATAAATTCAATACCAAATTATTTATCTGATACTTAAATTATCATCACATCACAGTTAAAAAAATTTGATGAGTATTTACCTGAAGTAAAGGAAATGGCACTGGATAAGACCAACCACCAAACAAAATAAAGTTTTTTTGATAATAAAGCATAGTTGCACAAGCTTTAGGTGATGGATAACTACCCATGGTGTTTGGTCTAACCCAGGTTCTTGTATCTAGATCTAACTTCCACAAATCATTGAATGTTGTCCAGGTAGATGAGCAGCCACCAAACACATACATAGAATTATCATATATACATGCTGAGTGCGAATGTCTCTTGCTAATTGTAGGTAGATGCCAATGTGTAGATGGCAATGAATTCCACAATAAGGATCCAGTAGCCACAGATCTTTGAAAATGTGCTTCATTACGTGCTATTACAACTGTTAATAAGATATAAATAAATCAGGATCATCGAGAAATCCATTTTACATTAATATATATATCTATTTATTAAATAAAAAAATTTATATATATAAAATTATGTGTACATATAAGTGTATGTAACATACATAGAATAAAAATTAAAAAAGATATTCATACCTTCTGTGGTACGTCGCCACCTTTTACATACAAATTTACAGGCTTCAAGGTCTTTATAAGGTGGTACTAAACTTAAAATATATTCTAATAACTCATCAGGTAGATCGTCGATTTTGCATCGCATTGTGCATCAAACAAGAATCACGAAAATGAGGTTATACTTTGCATTTAGTATATTTTGAATAAGGGACACGAAGGTCCGTAAGTAGAGAAACGGAACAAAGTCAGGTCCTCTCATCCACTTCACACGGTTTGGCTCGAAAATGGCAGCGACAGTGGTTCAGCTGATCAACCACATACCGTCAGGTCAAAAATTATTTTCGTTTTTTGCAATTTTTTGTACTACAGTCGGCATTGTAATCGTTTTTCTTCTGAAAAATCTCACTGGTATTTTGGAATATATTTAAACTATGTTTTGATTGCTTCTGATTACATCTTAAACAGTTGGTCTGTTCTTTTTAGCCGCACTGCGGAACTAATGCAATAAGTTAGAATGAGACAACTATATTTTTTTTTCACTTTAATTTATTGCACCAGTTCAGTAGTGCAGCTAAAAAGAACAGACCAAGTGTTTTGATTACTCTGTTCACTCACACAACAAAACCATAATACTACAAGTACATAGTGGCTGCGTTCCGAAATTCACTACCAGTACTGAAAATACATCATTTGTGTCACGTATACTATAGATTTTCAGTACTGGCAGTGAATTTCGGAACACAGCCAGTATTACCTGTTAAAACATAAGTAAAATTTAATAAGCTATAATCTCTCTCTCTCTCTCTCTCTCTCTCTCTCTCTCTCTCTCTCCCTCCCTCCCCCCTCTTTCCCCCCCTCTCTCTCACTTGAGATATAATCTTTTTTTAAAGATTAAATTGATGATATTAATGAAATGATATTAATAATATCAAACATTGTCAAATGCTGCAACTTTACAATTTTTTAATTTATCAAATTATGTTTTTAATAATAAGTCTTTAGAGAAAATTGCATTAATCCAAGACAACATCATTACTTGTGTGTATGTGTGTGTGTGAATCTTTCTAAGAATTATGCAGCTGATAACACTGTTAGTGGTATTAATGTGTGTAAGAACAAAAAATGTTGAGATAGATCCATTGAAAACAATAATCTGGGGTCCAGGATTACAGCCAGCAGAAATTACTATGCGTGCAAGATACATCTTTCTACAACTTATTGATGTACATGGAAAGAAGTTAGTATATATAAATCAATTATACTAATTATATTTAGTATAAAAATATATGTAAGTTTTAATAATATATGTTTTAATGGTTTATATAGTAATTCTTTTAAAAATATAAGTAATTTTAGTGGTAAATGATACTTATCTAAAAATAAATTTTAAATATATTTAATATTTTTGTAAACTATATAATTTATTAACATGTATTACTATACATTCTAGCTTGACAGAATCTCCTGGTGAAAATACAGTTACTGGTCTAGTACAAGGACAATCATTTAATGATTTACCATGCCGTATTTGGACTCAACTTTTTGACTGTAAAGATGGAAGTTTTATTTTACGTTACAAAGTTTTCAATACCTGTTTGAATATCAAAATCAAAGTGAAAATTAAGGGTAAAGAATTACCAATGTTTCATTCAGAGATCAAAGGTATGTATTTATGTATTATTCTATATAAAATCTAAGAATACTTTAAAACAAACTTTGAAAAAAATAAACTTTAAACGAAAGGATTCTTGTAGGTCTTGTTTATGAAGAAGAGTGTTATTGTCCAAATCCATCAATTACTAATTGGCTAAATAATTATCAGTGTCAACAAAATTATACTCAAATGAATTATGATCTTGCTCCATTTCCAAATGTTGACTTTGACAAAATACGTCAAAGTATCATTAAGAGATATGATCAACCATCCAGTGTCAGCATATGTCATTATATATTGAAATCTAACAGAGTAATTATGTTATATCTTATCACACATATACACACACACATATATTTAGAACTCATATTTACATATAAATCTGAATTTGAATTAATTAAAAGATATTATATCAGATTTATAGGCAATGTTATGGTCAGTATGTTGGTTTTAAGATATTTATGGATGCTATATTATTATCGCTCGCACGCAAAATAGTATTGCCAGATATTGAATTCTTTGTGAATTTGGGTGACTGGCCACTTGTTCCTGATAAAGGCCCGCTATATCCTATTTTTTCATGGTGTGGATCTGAAGATACAAGAGACATTGTTATGCCTACATATGATATCACACAATCATCTTTGGAGATGATGGGAAGGTATAACATACATTGATAATATTAATAATTGAAACAAAAAATAATTTTGTCTGCAAACACTTATAAAACAGGGAAATGCTAGATACACTCTCTGTACAAGGTAACACTGATCTGCCATGGGAGAACAAAGTTGAACAATTATTCTGGCGCGGACGTGATTCCAGAAAGGAACGCCTTGATTTAATAGATATTTCAAGGAAACATCCTAAACTTTTTAATGTCTCCATTACTAATTTTTTCTTCTTTAAAGATAAAATAGATAAATATGGACCTGGACAAAGTCACGTATCATTTTTCGACTTTTTTAAGGTAAAGCTAAATCATTTTGAGGAAAATCAAACTCTCATAACTATAGTTTAGGATTAAAATTAACTGCGTCATATCACTTAAATTCTCGTTTCCTGTTGTAAATTCATGAAACACAAGTATGATTTTGAATTTACATTGTTAGGACAAAGATATAATATAAAAATTGAGATATACGCGCGTTGATTTGGTTTCTTGTATTGATTCATATTTTTCACATTTTTATAGTATAAATATCAACTGAATATCGATGGCACAGTAGCTACGTATCGATTCCCATATTTACTCGCGGGAGATTCTTTAGTATTCAAGCAAGAATCCAAGTATTACGAATTTTTTTACAAAGATCTTACATCCGGACTACATTATGTGCCTGTGAAAAGCGATCTCTCAGATTTGGTCGAGAAAATTCAATGGGCAAAGGAGCACGATGAGGATGGATTGAAGATTGCTAAATCCGCCAGACAATTTGCGAGGGATAATTTATTACCACGTGACATATTATGTTACTATACGACTTTATTTCATGTATGAGAAAGCCCTATTTTATATATATTCTTCTCGGATATAATTCGCCAAATGATATAATCTTTACATTTCAGGAATGGAGCAAACGCTTAAAGAGTAAAGTTAAAGTACTGAATAACATGGAAGAAGTACCACAACCTAGTCATTCCTGTCAATGTCATCTTAGCAATTTAAATCTCAAAGATGAATTGTAGAGTTTAATACGTTTGTCTAACGTCTTCCTATGATTTACTAGTACAATGAAGATTTAACCGATTCACATCATCATTATATAAGTATCACGTATCATAAATGTATAAAGATACATATTTCTTTACTAAGATTTTGTACCTATCGCTAATGTCAAAAATAAAAAGACAATATGAACTTGAATTCGAAGCAAACAGTCTTCTAATATTTAATAAATCTTTATCCCTTTTTTTTTATGACATGCTTATATAACCTGTTTAGCTATTTTTATATACCATTTAATAGTTTTCATTTATTTGATCTAAAAACATGTCGAGAGCTTGAACAAGATACATCATTTGTACAATTATCAACATCTCCTTCGAAAAATATTTATGGGATAAATATATAACATGGAGAAATTTATATTCACATTCGTATTATATTGATTATGAAGTTAAATTTTACTACATATGCAAATAAATTGAAATAAACATTCACATTTGTATAATCAACTTCAGTAACATCATAGCATTATATACGTCTTATTGTGATAGCGACAATAAAATTTATAAATCGTTATATAAATACGACTCTTGTAAAACGAAATTGATCAACATGAAGCAGAATGACAAAAAAAGGATCCTACCATAGTTAATGCAGATTTCACATATAGATAATTCTTCAATGGTTTACAATATCGAATAACTAAAACCGAAGTTCAAATTAGAAAAATGGTATATCCAAATATAAGAACACATGCATATGACAATTAAATTGTCTCATAAATCTTGAGTTGTAATCGGTGGCATTTACATATAGTCTCCTATCGATGTGTCCAGGTAATAAATTGACAATAAATTACGGAATTGACTTTTTACCAACGCATCTTTTTTGAGCTAATAAATGAGTGACTTTTGTTGTTACCCAAAGCAAGATTTGTGGATTTTAATTATTCAACAGTCGAATAATATTCATAGAAACCAAATTGGATAAACGGCACTTGCAAACGAATGCATAAACTCATCAACAGGAGACCAGTCACAATAATTAATGCGCTAAATTCTAATACGTTAAGTGAAGTTTTAACATAACACCATATAGATGTTCGTATTTTGACGGTGATACGTGAGCAGTGTGTGTGCAAAAAATATATGAAAATCCTATAATTATGTTTAAGTTTTAGCCATAAACTAATAAAAATATTATACCTACGTATTCATGATAAAAATAAGATACGAAATTTATTCTTCTTTCTCTCTGCACATGTAAATTGTAAAATATAAAAAAATTACACAAGCATAATAAATCTGTGATAAATATGTATATTACGTGTATACAGATAATATAAAATAAATCAGATGGAAAATCTTTTTCTAGATAATAAATTCTAGAAAAATCTAGAAAAATATAATAAATTATTGATTTTTTACGTGTATATTATACGTTTTTTATGCATTAGGAGTTTTGCCATAGGAGTTAAAAGCCATTCGGGATATTTGGCATACTCACTTCACCGAGATCTAATAATATACAACTAGTGTAATAAAAAAAAAAAAAAAAGTTTAAGTAGTTTACTAAACTAGTACATACGTATATAATGTAAAACACGATATTATGTATTCCTAGGCATTAACACACTAAAATATGTATGTTAATATTAAACAGTCAAAAAAGAAAAGAATCGTGAACAAACTCAATCCTATATCTAAATTCAATCAATTACCAAGTTTTCTTTTTTATGGCAATTCTCATAATTTATGTATAATTTAGTCCTTTTAATAAAGCCTTTATAATTAAGCCTTTTTATTTTATGGCTTTAAACAATATATCAAAAAGATTAAGATAAAGTTTCTTCAAATAAACTTTTTACTAAATAAACTAATGAATAATTGAATAACTAATGAATAATTTGTATTAGTACGAATAATGTAAGAATTTACATTAATATACTTTATTGTGTAGGTGGTTGATAACCATAACCACCATACTGATTGGGTGGAGGTGGTCCTTGTGGTCCAGGCGGTGGAGGCATGTGTCCACCGGGTGGCCGTGGCGGATATTGTGGATAACCTTGTCCTGCTGGTGGTGGAGGATAACTCTGGGGAGGATATTGTGGGTGCCCATAGTGTTGTCCCCCTTGTGGTGGATGAGGAGTATAAATCTACAAAATTTAATATATATATATATATATATGTCTTTCGATTATAAACAAATATAAATTTAAGTTATGTATAAATATACTATTTAATTATTCTCTCCCTTTTCTTATGTGTTTTATAAAGTGTCGCAAAAACATTAACCTTTTTAGTGCCGAACGACGATATATCGTCGTTCGCAACACTTGCGAAAAGTGCCAACGACGATATATCGTTGCGTATGCGATGGCGCCTTACTGTTCGCATCGCTAGAGAACTTGATCTCAAAATAAATTTATAAAACGTTATAAATGGTTTAATTTCTTTGCAAAAGAATTGAAAAAATTGTTTATGGATTTAACTTTTTGTCATATTCCATGCTGGTTAGTGCCGAGATTGCATATACGCTAGAGCGATAAGATAGAAATTCGACACGGGACATTTTCTTGAGACCGTAATCGCAGGATTTAGATAGTTGTTAGAACAGAATATCTCCTTATTTTTCACGAAAAAATCTGTGCAATAAAGGATTACACGGTGTATGCATTAGTAAGCATCAATGCTAAATAAATTATTTGTGTGAGTAATAATAAGTAAATATTACACATTTTCAATAGCCAAATAACTAAATATAAATGTTTATAATAATACTAAAATTTTATTTCAGTAATGTTATACTGACTACACGAATCACTTGTTTTGTAGCAGATAATCCTTCTGACGCTTGCCGTGCATCATGGAATTATCCTTCAGTTATGTGGTCCGATATTAATTATTTTGTTACAAATTATTGAAAATGCAATATTTATACTTCATACTACGTGATCTATACAAAGCTATAACCAAACGATGATTTTTCTTATGTGTAAATACTGTTTGTAAAAGAGAATTGATTTTTCTGTTTTTCATAATGTTTTATATTTATGTTATTCGTATGATTTTCAACAAATATTGAAATATAATTGGCATTAATTTATTTTCCCTTTATTTCGTAATATGCTCCTTTTTGAATTTTGTAAACATCATTTTTATTTTGTTTTTTATGAGCTTTTTCCCAAACCTTAGCAAATTCGTCAAATTGGTCCGGCATTCTTCGCATAGGTACGATACTTTCAGTCGGTACTAAAAGAGTTAATATCTGAAATATGAATCTAATCTAATCGTACAAAAAATTATAAGAAAGAATAAGTTATTCCATAAGAAATTGTGGATAGAATTACAATGTTGTAGAATTACAACATGCAAAACAATTTATAAGTCTAAATGTTGTTTAATTAAACATGCAAGAAGAATACCTGTGGCTGTCCTCCTGGTGTCGGCGGAACGTACGTTTGCGTCGTGGTAGGTCCATACGTAGGTTGCTGTTGAGGACCCGGAGGTGGAGCGGGGCCTTGCGGCGGACCGGATGGAGGTTGAAATCCACTAGGAGCCGAGGTCTGAGACGGTTGCTGTTGCGTCTGCGGAGCTGTTTGCGACTGTTGCTGAGATTGTTGTGGTGGCTGATGAGGCGGTTGATGTGAGGTCGGTTGGTGAGATGTCTGATGAGATGGCTGATGAGGTGGTTGATGCGGCGGATGTGGTGGCTGATGAGGTGCTTGATGCGGCGGCGGATGTGGGGGGTGAGATGTTGGATGAGGCGTTTGATGAACGGGATACCCAGAGGGGGCTGGTACTGGAGGAGCATAGCTTCCACCCTGCGACGTTGGCGGCGGACCGCTACTCGGTGGATATGTCTGTGTCGAAGCAGACGGCGTGCTTGTCGGTTGACTGCTTTGGGCATAAGTATTGCCGCCACTCGCAGAGGAAGTGCTAAATGGCGGAGACGTAGACGCGGGGCCATATTGCGTCGCGCCGGGACCCGGACTCGGTTGGCTAACATAGTTGGGCTGTGGGCCTGCATTTTGTTGAGACCCTGGTTGAGGGGGTTGAGTCGCGCTGGTTGTTGGAGGCGGTGGATAATTTTGCGGCGGAACATTGTTCGCGTATGCCTGAGAGGAGGGAGGGGGATAATTTCCGGGTTGTCCAGCAGCATACGCATTTTGAGGTGGCGCTTGGGACGGAGGCTGCTGATAATTTGGTTGTGGACTAGGGCTGCCATACTGTCCCGGCTGTTGTTGTTGAGTACCTGATGAGAAATTTTGCTGTGAAGCATTAGATGGAGGATAGCCTTGTTGATTTGGCGGAGGTGGTCCATATGCGGATGGTGGTTGTGTCGTGCCCGGAGGTGGATAACCGCCTGGTTGTGGGCCATAGCTATTCACCGTGGTCGGAGGACCATAATTAGGTTGTGTTGCTGCAGTATATCCTTGTTGTTGAGAAGTATTGGGTGGCCCATATTGATTTGGTTGGCCTGGAGTGTATGCGGATCCTTGTGGCCCTTGATAATTTGATCCAGGATTCTGATTAGTATATTGAGCAGGATATCCTTGCTGAGAAGGCTGCTGTGGATAACCCTGTGGACCTCTATATTGTTGTGGACCTGGTGCAGTTGGAGGCCCTGTAAGTATTAGTAGATTACAATAACAAATAATATGTATAAAATGTCATCTAATTAAATTAAAAATAACACAATTTTACTTTATATCAGAGTAGTATATAATTATAATTTGTATAGAATTAATTTGTATTAGAACAAATTAAAATTCCTAATAGTGGTTAATTTAAATTATAGATATAACATACTATTTATGGTAGGTCCTTGGCCAGGCATCACAGGTCCACGATAACCACCTTGTGCCATTGGTTGACCTTGATTAAAGGTTGACATTGGCATAGGTGGCTGTGTATTTGGCGGCATCTCTCCTCCAGGACCAGCCGAACCTCCTGGACCACTTGGAAGTCCTTGAGGATTCATCATACCATGTTGGGGACCATTGGGAATACTTTGAGGTGGCTTTAAAAAAAAAGAACCAGTTAGGAATTTTATAATTACTTGTAAAGTTTTAAACCTAGCTTTTTTGAAAATTAACTTTTATCACATACATATATATGTATACATGTGTGCGCATATATTCACATGCGCATGTACGCATAAAAATATCGCTTACAGGTAGTAAAGCTTGAATATTCTGGTTTGCATCTGCGATAGTTGCCAAATATACCAAGTTGCGATGTAGCATCTGTTGATATCTAAAAATTAAAATTAATAGATACGATGATAGAAAACACAAATATATAACATCAAAAATAATCTTTTCTGGTGTTGCATTTTATAAAATATATTTTGATATCAGAATCTTCATATCAGAAAAATAGAAACTATAATCTTAGAGTAAATGTAATTACTTACTGTATACATTCCTGTGCCTTGCCTTTATTCTGATATTCTTGTATTGTTTGTATAAGTTGGCTATTCTCATCAAGCATCTATAGGAATAAATAGGTATAAATGTATATATATAATTACAAATCCTAAAATGCACATATATTGCATAACTCAATTTTTAGTTATCAGAGACAAAGTTATCATTCTTTTCTTTTTAGCAAAATTATTATTTCTTCGCGAAAGTTATTTCCTCACCTTTTGTATTTGAGCAGTATTTGGAGGGGGTCTTCCGCGTTGTGCGAAGGTCACAGACATTTTTAGAATCAACTCTCAATTTGTTCTATCAATGAAACGTCGGTGACCGAAGAGCACTCTTTTCACTTTTGCTATTACGAAGAATTATTCAAAAATGCCTTAAAAGATACTATGTCCATTTTCGTCATATTTTCGTAACATATTCTTGCAACGTCGATTATCCAAAAGTGCGTGAGACTTAATCGCGCGGGATAGACGAGGATCACGAGAATCTCTCAAACTTGCACGACCTACGTTATCTAACCACAAACCACTCAACGTACAACTTGTACAACTCGTATTTTTGATAATGTAGCTGACGCGTATGAAGATTATTGGCAATTACCTGATGAAGTATATAGTTTCACAAACGAGGGATGATGTCGGAACATTTCCGAAATAAAAGGCTTGGAAAAGCAGCGTCACTGACGACGAATGCAAGAACTCGTATGTCTTCTCTCTAATGGAGGATTTACATTGCATCCAATGTTTAGGAGTCGTTCTGATATCCAATAGGAGAATTGGATTTCTAGAGACTTTAATTATAGGTTTCAAGATTTTAGCTCATGTGGACCATAGACATAGGCTGCATTCCGATATTCACTGTCAGCACCGAAAATCTATAATATACGTGACGCATACTATGTATTTTCAGTACTGACAGTGAATATCGGAACGCAGCCATAGGGCAAGAGTACAGGCTTTTGCATAACACATAATACATAAGAGAATAAACCAATTAGTTTTCTTCATTTCTCTCCTCAGGACAGAAATGAAGAACTCTGATTGGTTGATTCACTTATGCGTTGTGTATTATGCGTTATGCAAAGGCCTGTGTTCTTGCCTACACATAGGCTGCGTTCCGATATCCACTGCCAGTACTGAAAATACATAGATTGTGTCACGTATACTATAGATTTTCAGTACTGACAGTGAATATCGGAACGCAGCCTTCGAATCACGACACCTTACCGTGATCCTAAAATCCCTAGATTTATAAAGTACCGCAATCCTCCGCCATTTTGGCTCCAACAACGCGGCACAATTCAAAACGCACAGATATGGTATTTTGTAAATAAAATAGGAAAATTGTTCATGATATTAAATAATGTTTTTATTGATATTTTTTGGTATTGTTAATATAAGATCTCATCGCAAAGCTCCTACTATTATATACAGTTTGGTGCTGAACAGTCAAATTGTCCTTTTTGAGCGAGAAATAGATACGTTCTATCACAAATGTTTTTAGTAGTTTAAAAACAATGTTATGGCATTGTGGTACAACTTCTATATTAGAAATACAAAATGATTTATATAATACATGCCTCGCTTTCCTATATGTATTATCCTAAAAAGAAAGTCAAAATCACATCAATTTGACAAAACTGATATATTGATATTATATTAAACTAAATTTGTCAATGTAATCATTTATGTCAAATGTCACAGTTGCATTTTGACTGTCTATTTTTTTGGGAATTGTATCATATATTGGGATTACAAATTTGTTCGGTCCGTTTTTTGTGTTAAAAAATGTATTTATTTCAAAACAAAATGAATGAACAGATCAATTAAAGTATTTTCCATCGCTGGCTACTATTTTCTCCCATTTCTCAGGCAATTTTCGAATTCCATTTCGAAAAAATGACTCGTCTTTTGAGGCGATCCAAGTTTGGAGCCAATTTTCGATTTCTGCGAAAGAAGTGATCCGGTGACCTGCCAAATCGTGCTGCATCCTTCGGAACAACCAGTAATCAAAAGGAGCAATGTCCGGAGAATACGGCGGGTGCGGTAAAACATCCCATTTGAGCGTTTCCAAATATTTTCTTACGACTTTTGCGACATGAGGCCGAGCGTTGTCATGAAGAAGAATAACTTTATCATGTCTTTCCTCGTATTCCGGCCGTTTTTCTCGCAATGCACGGCTCAAACGAATCAATTGTAGCCGATACCGATCGTCCGTAATGGGATCTCCAGGTTTCAGCAGCTCATAGTAAACAACACCCTTTTGGTCCCACCAGATACAGAGCATAATCTTTGAACCATGTATGTTCGGCTTTGGTGTTGATGTTGAGGTCGATGGCAACAATTGACCGGGCTTGGCGTAGTATTTTTTCTTCTTGGAGTTGTCATAGAATATCCACTTCTCATCTCCAGTTACAATCCGATGCAAAAAACCTTTTCTTTGTTGCCTTTGAATCAGCTGCTTGCAAGTGAAAAATCGCCTTTCAACGTCTCTTGGTTTTAGTTTTAACCCAATTTCCTTGTTTTTGAATAAATCCCATGTCTCTCAATCGTACGGAAACAGCTTGTTGAGTCACTCCCAATGATTCTGCAAGCTCCTCTTGCGTTTGACTCTGATCTTCTTCGAGTAATGCCTTTAATTCTTTGTCCTCGAATTTTTTTGGCTGTCCAGAGCGAGGCTTGTCTTCGACGCTGAAATCTCCATCCTTGAAACGTCGAAACCATTCCCTACATGAATTATCAGCTGGAGCAGCATCACCATAAACTTCAACAAGCATTCGATGGGCTTCAGCTGCACTTTTTTTCAAATTAAAGCAGAAAATTAAAACCTCCCGCAAATGCTGCTTGGTTAACACAAAATTCGACATTTTCGACACTGTAAAAAGCAATGTTTTTGTATGAAACTCAAAGCGATATAAACTGAATATTATTGGCAGATGTCTAACTTCTCTGAAACCGCCAAAATCGGCAGTCACTATGAACCATTCATAACAGCCGGAGCCATCTTTTGAAAACGGACCGAACTAATTTGTACACCCAATATAATAAAACTTACTACAGTCTACATCCTGGACGTGCTCAGAATATTTAGCTTTTTTCACTGTCTTCTTTGTGCCCTGTTCCGTCTGCGTTGTACGTTTTTGTAATATATTCGGTATAGCATACGGACGGAGTAGTTTTCGACTGTCTTGACGTTTTTCGAATTGCTCGTTGCCGAAGTGTACCTACAAAATGTATATAATTATTATTCTAATATATGATGTGTTACACACGATTATAACTCATTAACTATACCTCACAAATTACAGCTCTTGCTGGCAATGTGTCTTTGCCAATTAATCGCAACCATTCATTGCGTCTATCGTTATTCTTAATACCTGTCGGTAAACGAAATAAGCGAAAACCTTTTTCGCTACGATTTGTACATTCATTCACGCAACACCCTGGCATGTTTTTCAATGTTGCTCTTCAACAAACTCTTCATGTGTCAAACACAATTCAGATTAGATAAATTGCACTTAATATGTAGATACGTTATGAAAGTTGCACTATGCACACTTTTTAACGCCATTTTGGTGATCTCAGACGGTGCTGCCATCTGCTATATCTTACAGGTATTATAAGGCTGCGTTCCGATATTCACTGCCAGTACTGAAAATACATAGTTTCTGTCACGTATATTATAGATTTTTAGTGCTGGTAGTGAATATCGGAACGCAGCCTAAGTAGAGTAAAACAAATATATATTTGTCTCACTCTAACTTATTGCAGCAGTGCAGCGAAAAAGAACAGACTTTTAATTTCCCAATTTAGGTTTTAAAAAATCTGAACTTTCAAGATTTAATTTATCTTTACGCTAGTTAATTTTTATTCTGCTTATGTCTGTATAGTAATATTACTATTATAACTGTTTATCATTCATATAGGAATTATAACCTACCAAACACGCGAAAAAAAATGCAAAAATATTCACCAGAGTACGTAACCGATGAGAATTTGCTCTGTCACGTTAATACAAATTGATATTCGCTTACTCAAATGGCTTTAGCAAAAGTAAGTAATTATTTTTCGTATTTGCTATTCGAGCAAATTGTAGTATAGCTATTAAGTTATTTAAATTGTAATGACACATTATTTTGACAGATTGAATTTGCTGTACATATGACATGTAAAAAATGTGTCAACGCAATTCGTGAGAGTATATCAGATGTAGAAGGTATCCAAAATATTGATATATCATTGGAGCGTGGTACAGTTGTTGTTGAAACAAATCTACCTTATTCTGTTATACAAGAGAGGATTGAGAAGACTGGGAGGCAGGCAGTATTGAGAGGATATGGAGGTTTAAAAATATCTCTTCATTATGACATCTTATATAAAGATTGGATATACAGCTCCAAAACTTGAACTATATATAATATGATTTTTCATTAAAGTTAAAATAGCATTAAATTTAATTTTTACAGATGAATTGAGTGCAGTATCAATGTTAGGTGGAAATTCAGGATACAGTGTTGGTAATCTAGTAAGAGGAGTAATAAGATTTGCACAAACTTCAAAGGGATGTATTATAGATGGTACAGTTGATGGATTAACTCCAGGTGAACATGGTATACATATACACGAGAATGGTGATATATCTAAAGGATGTGACAGGTATATTTTCCAAAGATCTGTTTTTAAAAATTGATACTTTATGTAAACTGAATTGTTATAGTGTAGGTGAGCACTTCAATCCAAATAATTCTTTACATGGAGATCCTAAGGATGAATTGTCCAAAAGAGTGAGTGTCAAAATTTATTTATATTTTATGGTATTTTAATAATATTTCTATCTGTGATTTTAGCATGCTGGTGATCTTGGTAATATCCTAGCAGATACTACAGGTAGAGCTACATTTCGGATAATAGATGAATTCCTTAAGATATCTAAGATCATTGGTAGATCTCTTGTTATTACTGAGAAACCAGATGATCTTGGAAAAGGTGACAATCCAGAGTCTAAGATCAGTGGAAATAGTGGAAATAAGTATGCAAAGTGTTTATTACCATAATGTAATATATCTTTATGTTTAATTATCTTATTCTAGTGGTTTTAATATTAAATTTTCTTGTATAAGGTTGGCTTGTGGCATTATTGCTAGATCATCAGGATTATTTCAAAATACAAAGAAGATTTGTGCATGTGATGGTCTTACAATATGGGATGAAAGAGATCAGGCTCTTGTACATGCCAATGGTACTATAAAATATTATACAAACTTCAATGAGAAAATATGCATAGTAATCTGAATATTTTCAAAACCTATTCAAAAACTATTTTTGTAAATTAATTTGTTTTATTCGTTTTATTCTGTAAATTAATCATTCACAGATGTAGATGTTTAATTTCAAGAATATTTGATTTTAATATTAATAAAATATTTCATAGTTTTTTAGTAATTTTGTAATTTTTCTGTACTATTTTATTATCTAAATTAGCTGTATGAGAATTGAAACTTTCTAATAACTAATTTTGCAACTTGTTTTTCAAAAGTAACATATAATTTATTCTTTTCAGCAAATTTGTAATTAATACAAAGATATAACATAATTTAAAAAAGAGCATTCCATATTGAAACACTTTAAACTAACAATAATGTAATATGGATATATTTCTCACACATTTTGATGTTATATATATATAGTTATGAATTTATCTATAAATATATGTGTCTGATCATTATATTTTGGTTTATATGTCTTATCTTTTACCTATTACTTAACTTATTTTATCTATTACTCTGAAATACGGTACGTGTGGTGACATAGCAACTTGATTGACTATAGACGTTCCACATGTCTTAAAAATTTGCTTACTTGAAGATAATTAGAATTTGAAATATAATAAAAGAGAAGGTCACGGGAGAGAGAAAAGAAAGAAGAGGAAACTTGTCTCTTATTATTTATTGTACTTGAAGAATATGAAAGTTAAATAGGAAATTATGTATAAAACGCTGTAGTTGACCTGTTTAAACGTTTATCTGCGGCTAGTTTCTGAATCAGCCTTAAAGATTATAACTCGAAAAATATTTGAATATCCATTTCGCACTTTTTGCACATTATTTTTAACAAAAAATATTTCAATTCTTGAAAATTTCAAATAAGCAATTTCTTAAACTTCTTAATGAAAATATACCTTTAAGAGTATCTTTTTTATTATCTTCATTATATAACATAGGAATATAACATAGGAATATAGGGACAGAGCATAGAGTTGCGGGGGAATAACCATTGCGGGACGGTGCGACGAGGTGAACTGTGCCTAAATCTAATTGGTGGTTGTGCCGTGTGTAAGTTTTGATACATACATAGATGTGTATGAAGTTGTGCATGTGAGTGAAATTATAAAAAAAAGACACATGCATAACCTCTGCAAAATACCGTCAGTGTAAATAGTTGTTATCATTTTGTTACATTTACTGTTTGCCAGTGACAGCCAAGTCGTTGCATCACACGCTCTGAATATACGCACTATTGTAGCCAATGAAACTTAGGCACAGTCGCCCCCCGCATTTCAGCACAACTCCCCTCGCCTATCTTACGGGCTTATGCTCTGTCTCTATATTCCTATGTCTATGCTTCATTAATATACCGTACAATCTGGTCGAAAAGTAGAAGCCAATGGCCGCGTTCAGCAGAAATAGCTGTTTACTAAGCGCTTAGTTATTATCGCTCCTGATTGGTCCATTCCCTTGGATTCGTTAAAGATCTAAAAGAATACTCCAATCATGATTAATAATCACTAAGCCCTTAATAAGCAGCTTTGCTGAACGCGGCCATTTTGTTTGGTCGATTCTGAGGTATGTGCTTTGTGTTTTTCGTGATTTATATGCATACAATTGATAAAATTACATAAAATATATATGAAGAAGAGTAGGAATCTCAGATGCATATCATTATAATTAATTATATGAGAAGAATAATGTAACGAAAATAAATTACATCAAGAAATACACATGAACAAAATAGACGTTAAGGTTAGATTCTTAATTATAAATAGATATAAACTTAACACTGCATATTAATAAAAAAATGATTACGTAAAGAAACAAAATAAATTTTAGAAATATTTATTGATGTTTTACAGGAATTTTTAACTCAAGTGGATATAATTTGAACTGAATCTCAAAATTAATTTAAAGGATGGGTATTCCTGGTTTAACAACGTTTATTTCAAATTATTCTGAACGTTATCTTGAAAATTATGAATTACATGATACTTACTTAGTTATTGATGGCAATAGTATAGCATGTCAACTGTATAATTGGTATGCAAATTGTAATTGTGCTTTTGGTGGTGATTATGATAAATATGCACAATGTGTGTCAGAATTTTTTGACGAACTTTTAAAGTGCAATGTTACTCCATTAGTATTATTTGATGGAGGCAGTGAAGACAAGAAACTCAAGACAATTATAACTCGAACTAGAGAGAAGACTCGATTGGGATCATATTATACACCAGCTTCTCAGCAAAGAAATAAATTCTTCCCTTTATCCATAAAGGAAGTTTTCAAAGATGTTATGAAAGAAAAAGGGATTAGATATGCACAATGTATATTTGAAGCAGATAATACTATAGCTGCAATAGCACGTATTCTTAAGTGTCCTGTATTGAGTTATGATTCTGATTTTTATATTTATGGTTCATTGTACATACCATTTAGTACATGGCGAAATTATATAGTTCGTAATTCAACTGGTACTGGTTATGTAAAACGTTGCAAGATTTATTATGTTGAAAAACTTTTCCATTTTTATAATGGACTGAATCAATCTTTATTACCTTTGGCAGCAGTATTATTAGGGAATGACTATGTAAAGCAACATATATTTAGAAACTTTTTCCGCCACTTGAAATTACCACCAGCAGGAAGGAGAAAGTACAATGAACAGCAACGACGTATTGATGCCACATTTGATTGGCTAAGAAAACACAGTTTAAACCAAGCTATAATAGGAATACTAAGTAGATTACGAAAACAAGAACGCAAACATGTATTGAATATAATAGAAACCATAATAAATAGTTACATTAATGCGTCGCTAAGTGTACTGGCTATTTTAGGTATACCTGCAGAAAAATTCTCAAAAGTGCATATGCAAGGTGTATCAAAAACATATAAATTTGAAGGTGATATATATAAATTGATATATATTGAAGAAACTACGAATGAAACAGATTTAACTGAGGAAGAAGGAATAGATGAGCAAGAAGCAATAAGAATACTACAAGAAACAGAATTGGTTTCTAATGAATCATTGGTGAACAATTTACCTCAGTGGTTTATTAATGAATTCAAGATGGGCAGGTTTCCTGCTTACTTCATTGATTTAATAATACGGAAGCTGTATATTTTCATTCCACAAATTGAAGATTACTCTTACGCTTCATCTGCTATTGCAAGTTTGAAAATTGTAAATATTATATATGGACTGCTGATATCAGAAGTAGACAAAGAGAAGACAGGTATGAAATATATAACTAGAGATGAAAATAAAAGAATAAAGCATTATTACTTAGAATATAATGATAGTATGTTTAATTGTAAACTGCCCTCTCTATCTAATTTGAGAGAGGTACCAATTATTGTCAGAAGAGAAATTTTGAACACTACTTTGGGAATCACGGGTGAAAATTGTATGAATGAAATTCCATCAACATGGATATTATACATCGCAGCCATCAAATATTGGATAGATCAACAACAAGAGTTAGCTAAACTTAATTACCATATATACTCCTTATTACTTGCTATGTTATACAATATAATAGATAATAAGATAGGCTTCTGTAGAATTTTAAACACTTTTCAACAAAAGTTTTACAATACCGTACAAAATATTCAATTTGCAAGAAAAATGGGAAACTATCGGCCACAATATACAATGGATGTTACAATCGCAGATGCGATTCATGAAGTTAATGCAGATGATTGCTTGATTGCGGCTTCGTTCTTTATATCTAATTTCGAAATGGACCATAAGTTATATTCACAACCAAAAAAATTTAACGTTACAATCGTACATGGTTTTGCAGAGTTTCAATATTGCTTAAGACATAGTATGCAATTAAATGCATTATTAGGGTATCCGTATGAACAAACCAAGGTTGCGAATATGTTCAATGGCACATTGTTATATAATTTGTGTAATAATTTTAAAAGACGCGACAATGTCGAAACTTACATTAATTCGGTTTTACATAATTCCCCAAGTTTACAGCGTCTGTATAATATATTATTATTGAAACTCAAACCTTTATTTAATATGCAGACGATGCAAACGAAAGCTAAATATAAAAAGCAAAAGATAAAGTACGAAAGGAAAGAACAATCCGCACAAGATCATGAAGAAGAGAGCGCGAGAAAATGTGAAAGCACTGATGTATCCTTTTACGATGTAAATAATCCATTTACTTTACTTGATGCTATGCGAGAGTAAAGTTTCTATTGTACATATAATTATATGTCCATAAGAAGTGCATAATATACATACATAACATACATTATATGTATATATATGTTTATAAAAAGTTTATATTACGTAAATACATCTGTTATATGAATCAATTCAGTATGATTTACGACTGTGAAAAATCAATATTTGAGTCCCATGGCTAGATAATATCTAAATCCTCACTACTACTAGATTCGTCATTTTTAATAGAATTCATATAATCTTTTCGTCTCTGTTGTGGTACTGATTGATTAGTATGGGTCTTGTTTCTTGTATTCGGTAATCTAGTATTCTAAATGAAGAAATGCAGGAAATAAGATTTCTGCCGTAAAATATAAAAATTAGTACGAGGAAATTTGTTATTTGTTTTACGTTTTTATACAATTCCCAAAACGCAGAGATCGCTGTTTTAATAGCATTTGCCTCTTGTCGTAAATTTGGTATGTAATATTGGTCCTTGTCATGTTTCGCAAGCAGTCCAACGCAAACGGCATACATCAATTTCTCTTGTAATTCCTGCTCGAAAATGACGAGATCTCTTTCGACAGGATAATATCTCTGTATATGTTCCCCTAAAACTTTTGAATCAACAAACAATTGATGCATTTGTAGTTCTTTTACAGCTGTGCGTAACATCTGCGGCGTTATAGGGACTCTTCCCATCTGCGTATAAAATATAATTGAAATTTCTAACAATATAATTATAGTATATATAATTAGTGCGCCTTATGGACAAATTATTATGATCGAAAATTATATATGCTAATAATAATATAATATAATTAAGCAAAATTCGATATAAGATAAGAATATTGTATGTATTATTATAACTTACTATGATCAAAATTATATTTTTGTAACGAAATATCTTATTTCTTTCAAAACCGAAAGAAAATATGCGGAAATTTACAAACACATAATTTTAAGCGTATACTTTTACGATGTCCGGTAGATCGTACATGTTATTAACAGTGATATTTTATGATTTATATCATTTTGACGTAATTTGATGACATAATCGTGCGCTAAAATTATTTCGATGTAATCGATAGTTCGTAGAATATACAAATATATTACTTCAGTTTCAAAACTTTTATAAAACTAAGGTTTTTAAATAAAACAAAATTCATAAAACATAGAATTTCTGTATTGTTTGTAATAAAAGTAGTTAATTAGACAAAACTTAAAATGTGCAATTTAAAGGACAATATATTGATATGATAATGGTATTGAAACTCGCACATAAACATTTTATTTGTTTATTATAACAATATTTTTCAACTACAATGATATTCTTATCATAGGTAAGTACATAAATTAAACATATGCGATGTTTTAGAAATTAATACAATATATTTCAACAATTTACATATATTTTAATATAACCATTTTGCATTGTAATAATAATATAGATCATTATTAATTTTTCATAGAATTTAATAGAGATAAATAAGAAATAAAGGTAAAAAGCTTACGTGCGTGTGACTTATTTGTTAAATATTATCTCGTTGATCAGAATAAAGTAAGTATATTTATGTACATACTTATACTTATTTCAATTTTAAACCTCATTAAAAGATAAAAATAGACATGCTATTATACATTCTCTGGAAAATACTTATCATATATAAAAATTATATACTTCTGCAGAAACAGATGATATAATAAAATAGAAAATCTGAGAAAATCGCGTGTAAACATTAATTGCACTTTTAAAATATAAAAAGCATAATTTTCTAAGTAATTAATATTGCTATATATATAATTTTGATATTATATTTAATATATCTAATAGAAAGTATAATATTTATATATACATAATCTTAAAATTCCTGTCTGATGCTAATTATATCACGATGAATATATAGACATACTCAGCAATTTTTCTTGTACTTATTGTTGAAATAACAATTGTATATAAATTGTATATAAGTAACATGTAAATATTTATGCATGATATAAAATATATAGATGTAATATATAAATGATTAAAACATTGTTATTCTGCATGTAACTTTGGGACTTTCTCTGAACTTCCTAAGTTAGGTCGTTTTATTGGTTAAAGTATCTAGGAAAATTTGTGTATATTTATAGTCTTCTGTTATATATATGATTAATAAAATTTAATAATATCTTATTACATCTTAAAGGAAATTATACTTTATATAATAAAAATGAATTCTATGCATGTACATAACAAGAGAAAAACATATGCATTATGAAATACACAATGGTAAGATAAAATTATTTGTAATACATGATTCAAAAATAATTATGAGTTAAAATACTACATTGAAAAGTGAGTTATCACTTATATTTTCTTCCATTTTTTTCTTTCAAAATTACACACTTATTATTTCTACCAATCAAATTTTTTCCAGCACATGATTAAGGTAACTATACATGTCATGAGACAATATGTCAAATTATACTATACATACTTTATTGAATTGAAAATTTCCCAAAATTACATAAGTATGCTTACTGATTAAGAAAAAAAAAAAAACTATTAATAATTGTTGGATGTAATGTTACAGTTTGCATAAATTTATATGTACAAATCTGGTATTACTGTGTGATATCATTAAGATATCACATGAACGAGCTTAGTAGTAAATATAATGCATTGCAAACTCACTCATTCACTCACTCACTCACTCTCGCCCCCTCTTTCTCTCTCTCTATATATATATATATATAGAGTTGTTTCAGAGAAAATTAGTATCAGCATAGGACATTCGATTTTCTCTATACAATATAAATACTAAATATCAAAGTAACCAATCATGTGAAGCATAAATGCGATTTATAGAGATAGGATGTTGTAAATTTTACATCATATTGGAATAAACTTCTGACTACATAGATAGTACAGAACTAAATACAGTAGATTTACAATAAATTAGCTGCAAAGATTGAGGTTAATATTTTAACATTTGCATAGTTATATTACAATTTGATACTGATTACAAAAGAAATTAAATCAATATTTCAGAAACTATATTTTTGTGTATGTTATATAAACTCTATATACATTATAAGCTCATATGGATTGTTAATTTAACTCTTATATTTGAAATTACGTATTTTTGAAACTATAATAAAATATCATTGCACTGAATCTACACCCCCGATAGTTTATTAATACATTACTTCTACATCAATTAATGTTTCATACACAGATTGTACGGTTCGGAATAAAAATATTTTTTTCAAAAAACGATTTGTTCCACCACACGATTATAAAGCAGTACTGATATTACGTTACAAGAGCTTTACAAGAGAGAACGAGTAACTAATATATATATATATATATATATATATATATATAATGTGTATATATATATATATAATGTATGTATATAACTTATTGATAATAAGATAACATTGATAACGCAAAAGATACGAAACAACCTTACCATTTTGTTTAACCTTTAGTTGAATTACGAATCCATATATTTGCAAAATACAACATAAAGAAAAAAGTAATTAGTATAAATATAATATCCACGCAACTTTTAAGAAAGCTTTTGTTATGTTGCAGTTCAGCATATTCTCTTTGCTTCTTTGCAGTTTGCTCTACGATGTATTGTATACGATTCAGTTTCTCACCATGCTCTAGCATTTGATGTTCTACCTCTTTTATTATATCTATTATCCTGAAATTAATATTGGTGTATATTATCAAAGATTGTAGTTTCTGTATGTATCAATGAATATTATTATAAGTTTGATATACAATTCGCAATAATCGCAATAATAATTTATATTCTAATGGAACATTACCTAGCAGTTGAACGTCTTCTTTTCCCTAATGATTGACTAGAATCAGTGTGTGCTTCCGCAGATGAACTCCCAGAATCATGAGCTGTTTCTGTCAGAGGCATATTGTTAGATAGCTGTCTCTTTGAAGATTTGAGCACCGATAAGGAAGAACGTGATTCAGCTTGTAACAGTGGAATCTGTAATGATTGTTGTTTGCATAATTTAGATAATGTTCCTAAGAATATTAATATTTTCGAACTACATGTATAATTGAATCTGTGAATATATAATAAATGATATATTTTACAAAATATATTAGTGAAAATATAAAACCATATCTACTAATATTTTCTCAACACAATTTCCAAGGCTTTAATTATTTTTTCATATTACATATATCTTGTTATTCTTCTATTGTCAGAAAATTGTTTATTACTGAAGGTAAACAAATGTCCATAAAAAGATTAGAATCTTACTTGCATCTGTTACAAATATTAAAAATGTACAACGTGATAAGCAGAAGGAAAAACATGATCAACATTTTCCCACAATAGGATGTACAGTATCTTATATATATTCTTCATAAATGTAAATTTAATCTCCTTTTTTTGTTAAAATCTTGATATTATTCCTTGTATTACGTTTCTTACGTTTCTTCTCTGACGAAAGCAGCATATGTTTTAGAAAACTTGTAGCTTGCTACTTCAGAAATATGACAACATGTACATGCATTTAAAATTACAGAAAAAACTCCAATAGTTAAAATCATATTTTTATTTTATAAGCTTCTAAGATATAGATTTAAGGTTTTCTTTAAATATGATAATTTTTTAGATATATATTGTTTTTAAATTTGTAGTGTGTGAAGATTTTTAAAATTTTAGATAGAAATATATATACATATATGTATATAAATATGTTACATAAAAGATAAAAATAATTTTATAAATTTAATAATAACAGTTAAGATTGCGAAGGAAATGAGAAAAGTTTATTACAAATATTGGATATGTATATAATTTATTCAAATTCATTAATAATAGATAAAGGAGATAAAATAAAATAATATAACATGCACACGGTTGCTCAGTAAGACTGTCAAAAAAGATGAAAGTAGTTAAAGGAATTAAAGTAATGTTATCTATATGCATATAAATAGTAAATTAGCATGCACCGTGCAAATTAGGTCCTATATCGTTGTACCTGTGATTGTGGTTCAGTAGAAACAATACTACCAGTACGCATAATAGGTGTTTTGTGTCTAGTCTTTGTGCGCACTATATAATTTTCTTCATATTGTACTACATCGTTTCTCGGATCCCATGGTCTTACATCAGCATGGCGATAAACCCAATTACCTGTTATAATATCCTAATGACGCATAACACAAGTTGTATTATTTTATAAGTATTGACAATGTGTAAATAACTATTTAAATATTAAAGCGACGCGTATATCGTACTTGAACAAAGTATTTTGGAACCCATTCCTGCCCTAAGATTTTCCGCTCCTTAGCACGTTCTCTTTGTGCTTCTTCAAGTTGAGTTTTCGCTTGAGTAGCAGCATATTGATCATCATTATCAATAGCTACTGTAACAGCGTGCCACAATTTTTCGCTTTCCCATGGTCCCTGATATTCCATAGGAACGGTATATTTCTTTAATCTTTTCTTACGTATTTCTGGTGTTGGATTGAAGAATATATTTTCTTGCTATAAAACATTCCTTTTTATAATTAACTGAAGTTGTCGACTAGATAACTTGCGTGCGTATTTTTTAACTTACCCCTGTTCGCTTATCCGTTATTGAAATCTGTCCATCCCAATATCCAGATATAATAGCAAGAGTTTCTTTTCCTAGACGTATTCGTCCCACGACTTGATTCATTAATTCTGCACCGCCGAGGAACGGCTAAAAAACGTTAGTTATTATTATATACCCTTGAAATGTACCAGTTCTTGGTTTATCGATAATCTTGATATATCGTGGGTGATTAGTGTTGCACATTACCTTCAGTTTAAATTCTAATTCTGAATGGTAACCGGTTTTCTCACATATTACGTTTACTTTTCCACCGAGTTCCATTGATAACGTTCCCATAAGTAAACCCTTACAATGCGCATACGGAATTGTCATTGTATAATCTTCACCTCTTGGCAGCATTGTTAATATAGCAACTCCATCCAAGACTGCAGAGGTTGAATTTCCTGTAAAAATAAAAGACATATGACATAAGTAACACTGTGTGGCTGGATATTAGAAATATTGTTCTGTTATATTATTATGCTTGATAATAATAAAAGACTATACATTTACCATAAAATTTAGACTTTGCAATAATTGTAGCGCTAATAGTAAATCCGTCTTGACGGTTTGTTACATAGAATCCTGAGATAGGTGGGTGGTGCGATAACTAGTAGAAATATTTAGATATATATATATATATGTGTATATTAAGACAGAACATAATACTTATGTATAAGAAAATCAATAACTTGTATATGTGTATGTATGTCGATCCTGCATTGGTAAAAAAAATCTATCGTTAAAATTAAAATAGATATTTCCGGAGTATTCTGACAATAAACAAGTCGATTGATATATTGTTAATATAAACTATCTTTTGTTCATTACTTGCTCGGCTAAGTAGAATGTTCTTGAACCATTAGGATGTTGCCAATAACAGCGGAATGTTTCACCCAAAAGTGGATTGTACGGCTTTTTTAGACCTTGTGGTTTCTTGTAAAATCCTGATAAGTACCATTTCACTACAGTTTTCATACGCGTAAATGCATCATCTTCCAATACTGCTCTGTAGAATAAAACAAAATTGAGAAATTTTATGTTTTCACAGGATAAACAAAACATGATATATTACTATGCATCACTAACTGGGACAATATATCAGCGTGATAATATGAGTCGGCCAGTTTTTCCAGAAATGAACGTGGTTCTAATACAAAAGTTGGCAATACAACTTTAGACAAATCCATACCAGGACGAACTTGTTTCAGTAAGAACCATATTAAAGACTTTTGCTCTTCTTGTAATTCTGCGACAACTTCTCCAGCCTATTTATTGATAAAAACGTAATATTATACAAATAAATATAAAATATATAATACATATTACATATTTATGAGAAAATCGAAATAGACTAACGAAAGAACTTGTTATATCCTTATGATTAATATACAATAAACTATATTTTTGCAGAACGATCAAAACGTTCACATACAATTAGTGCTTACCGCTCCAAGAACTTCATTCTCGTTAGATACATATGGTGTTTCAGTGATTGGTTCTGATTGATCTTCTTTGGCCGATGCCTCGGATTCGCTATCCGAAGCACTGATTTCAGCATCAGCTGCTACTCCATTCTCTGGTTGACTGATATCGTCCAGGTCTGTATGCGAGGTGTATACAGGATCTAGCGTTACTACTTGATGGGTGTCGTATTCTAAGACATGCACAGAAGGAATGGTCATGCAATGTGCTGGGGAAATTGCAGGATGAGATGATGAAGCAGCATGTGAAAAACCAGGCAGTTGGTTATCACTACCATCTGATTCCTCAATAGTAATCGAAGGCGCAAGATTTTCCTGATCTGTGCCAGGTGTCGGAGACCGGTCAAGCTGTTTTTCCCAATATGCAACCGCATGATAAAGATGTTGAAACATTGGAGTTGGTGAGGGACAAACGCTTCTAGGATTATGAGTTATAGCAGGTGAAAACGGTTGTGCACACGATAACAAGCGTTTCTGAGGTGTTGTAGGTGATTTTGGGACATAATGATTTAGACATACTGTTGGTGCATAAGAAGCAGGGCAAGACAATATTAGGACGATAAGTAGCAAGGAAAAATAACATTAAATGATCATTATTCCGACAATCTTGTTATGAAGTGCTTAAGTTTTCACTCATACTGGTACACTATAGCTTAAATATATGAAAAAAAAAATATTCTTGCATCTACTTACTAATATTTAAAGATGAATTGTTTAATCTTAATAATAAATTCATTGAATTATTAATGATTAATTTTTGTCAAGACATCAGTATGCTTATGAATTAAGCAACTAAAAATTATCTTATTTTTTATTTAATTAACTTTTTTCTCGTTAACTATAGTTTAACAGCTATTTATCCAAATATTTTACGTCTAAACTGAAATAATACCAAGTAATAACATAAATTTTCATTATATTTTAAATGAAAATATTAAATTTCAAATATATGATCGTTATTACTGTTTATTATGTCAGCTTGGTTATGTAAATTATATATAACAGAAGAATAACCAATTTGGAATCAATTACTTTCGTCAATAGTAGCACAAATTGACAAATCACCATGCATCATTTACAAAAATTGTGTGTATGTGTGTGTACTCCTTATAAAATATATTTTCTAATTAATGTCTCTTCACGAATCTCCATGCAATTCCTTATTTATTCGTACCCAACTATTCCACAAAAAATATCGATTATACGATTCTTTTTTTTTCTTTTCGTAGTAATTCCGATATGTACTACAGTATCCTACACCCACCCTAGTATGATGTCGCTATGAAGATTTTGTTCGGAGACAACGTATTCCACTTCTATCGCAAATTACACTTAAATATTATATATAAAAACTTTGTTAATGATACTAACCGTGATCATCAAAATGCTTCTCATAATCTGCTTCGCTCCATTGAGTTTCATGAGTGGTGGTTGTATCGTGTGGTAATGTACGTGGTAACACACTTGTCGAACGAACTATTAACGAAGAGCAGCGTAACGATAATTCAAGTGCATCTAGCCAACATTTGCCTGCTGCTTGGGATGGAGCTCGGAAAATTAAGTAGGATGTCGGTAGAGGTTGCATAACAGCGCCTAAAAAGATAGTAATTTGTTTATAATTGTAACATTAAAATTATTATATAACATATACAGCTACATATCATTAAATTTGACTGATTATTATTTATACATTATAAGATAAAATTATTATGTAACAAAGACTTTATTTACATGTTAAAAGAAACAATATAATAAAATATTTTGTAAATAATATTAATAATCGAGAGAAGCAATTATATATACATACCAATAGTTTCATTTTCAGGTCCTCGTGGGGCCCATATAGATTGTTCCAAAGGATGAAATAATTTAAAACAAAATCCATCTTTTTTACTTGGACGCTCTATAACTTGACATGTATTAAGTAGTACCGTCCCTACCCAATGGTTACTCTATAATAAATACATAAATGTTATTTCAGTTGATAAAAAGCTTATGAATGGAAGAATATATATGCACAAACCTTTGTTTTTGGACTTTTGTACAGCAATAATAATCCAGGTTTCAAAATACACCACAATTTGGTCCAACTTTTTAGTGTGCCACGTACTTTTAGCCAATCGCTCATAACAATAACAGTTGGATCTTTAAAAGAACTTAAAAGCTCATTGGCAACTCTTTTCTTTTCCATTCGGTAATTTTTTCTCTGTGCTTTATAAGATTCTTTTCGCGTCAATTTACAAGAATCCAATGACTAAAAACATCATTAAAAAATTATTATTCGTATACAGTCTTAAATATAGTAGACCCACATACATGTTGCACATATATGTTGCGTATTTCGGATAATAAAAATACTGTAAATTTCAGTGTAACTAGTGATATATGTAAATAATAATCTAATCAGTAATAAAAAATTATCAAAATAATATAATTAATAGATTTTAATAATATAATTAATAAATGTTTTTATAACTAAATTGCGATAAAAATAGATCATGTTTTACCTTGTCCGAAGAGTTATCGACTTTTTGACTACCTTCACCCATTACAGATAATCCTATAACATATATAAATTTGTATTACGCTTTTTCCAAAATATATCTGATAAAATGATACAATTAAATATAATAATATTAATATTGAGAAAATTATATACCACCAAAATATGTACAGATTTAATTTTTTATAGAAAATTTGGTAACTTTTTATATATTTAGAATAATCTTTCGCAACAAATAGATAATTTGTATTGCATTATTATTATTATTAATTTTTTCTTTTATATATAGTAAATAATCTAACTAATCACCAGTAATAAGATTAGTATTGTTAGTTTTATACATGTAATGTACTTAGTAGCATAAATTATTATTTTTGTTGTATGTGTAAACTTATGTTATATATAAATTTCAACAAATGATTACAAGCTAATAATTCTTGTTATAAAACAAACTCTTAGTTGCATATTGGATAATTCAAAATTAAAAATGAGACGAATCTAAATTTTAAATCTTTAGGGAAAAAATAATTCATGCTTACACTGTGAAAATAAATAATTTACAATACACCTTATGATAAAAGAGTGCAGAGGTAGATAATATCATCTCATTTTCTATTGGTTCCATATAAATAGGATCCTACTCACGCATTCATCCAATCAGAACAGTGTGTAAATTAACATATTATTTTTTTCTACATCATAATTTAACAAATCAAGATAATTCGATTTTCTCGAATTTCAATTGTAACAGAAGTATAATCAAAACCAATATTTCTTATTTGTTTCTGTTTAAAAAATAATGAAAATTCATACATAAGATATCATTAAAAAATAAAACAAATATATACATAAAAAAAATATATTGCTTTTAACGGTTTTACAAGACTTTGAAATTCTTAATAACACACAGTAACAATTAAAAAATAAAAATTATAATTTATTATCTTGATTTGTATCATAGAAGTATATACGTAACAAGTGAACTATAATTATGTTAAATTATTCACTTCTATTGAAGATATATATTTATTTATTGATGCATTTTTTCAGAGATATACACAATGGAGAGAAACAAATTAAAAAAAAAACCTATTATTACATATATTAAGTTATCTCCAATATCTCATTTATATACAATATGTAGAATGATTTATAAGGTTTATATCAAATTTTAAATCAAACGGTCAGATTTCATTACGTTAGATATAAGAATCGTATATTTCAGCAAAATAGATAGTATATAAATTCCAAATTTACTCTACAGAAATATTACTTCTCTTTTAATTTGTATAAATATATCTAAATTTGATACAAATCTTATGAAATAAATTGTAAATTACATAAGACGCAAATTCGCATTAGGATACTATTACACCGAGTTATGTAATCAAGTCTCTATATGTATATCGATAATGTAAATAACAATTACTATTAATTAAATAAATGTATCGTAGCACATCCAGCTTAAAGCTTAATTTACAAGAAAAAGCATGTAAAATGCAGGTAATAAGCATTAAATAATATTGCTATGTTATATAAAAGTTCAAAGTTAAAAAGAAAATTGCATATGAAACGGATTGTAAAAAAAGATTCAGAAAATAGCTTTATAAGTCATACATTGTTTCAGAATCTTTCTAACATGTACATATTTATTTATTATACTACAAAAAGAAAAGCATGTATAATGCCAATTAAGGTTTGAAAGCTACTTATATCCGTTTAGTTATTTCAGACTATACAATCATACGTATTAATTTTTTAGAATATTTTTAGATTTATACCTGGAGACATTGGAGGTGCACCAGCTGTATTATTTATGCTTGTTGAAAGGGACTCAGTTGATGGAAGTTTAGGTAATGGTGTAGACTGTGCTTGGATGCTGCTTCGTCGAAGATGTCGATCTGCTGGTTCTATATATTTAGTACTTATACAGTTGCACTGAACAGTTATATCGTAACGTTTCACATCATATTGCAAATAAAAGAACATTTCAACAGAAACTATTCAATAATTACTTCACAGTACATATAATACAAATTCGTATTTTCTACTTTACAAATAGATAATGTTAATGTGTAGTAATATAAGAAATATAGGAAATCATAATGTTGTTACTTTTTATAATAAACAAGATGAAAACTATCAAGAGAATATATGTTTATCTGTAGTCAAATTTTCATAAAAATATTGTAAGTTTGCTTATTCTGTTGCAAAAGAAAAAGAAAAGAATATGCATGCTCAATTTATACATGCATAATGGAGCGTGCTATATTGCTACATGCTATTTTATGCTGCTACATATAGACAATTCACGGAAATAAATTAGATACATTATATTTTAGGAATGTATTAAAAACGGGAAAAATTAAATTAATATATATAAAGTCTCCTAAAATAATATAGTTAATAATATACTATTTTATATTTTTCCAACAAATGTCGATAAAACGCAATTTTCTTACGCGAATCTTATTTAATAAAAATATTCTAAATATAAATATAAAATGTGTGCAACTTGTATCAAAGTCATTATTTTTATACCATGTTTTTATGCACACAATATGTGTTATATGTTATCTAGAAAATAATATACATGAAAGCTTTTGCTAGGAGAAAAAACATATTTCTTAAGACAGCATTTTGAATCAATTTCTTGATTTTATTCGAGAATGTAGTGTTCGGTATAAAATCATTTATTAATCATATATTGCGTTAAATATTAAGTAACGCAAATGATAAAAAAGTGGGCCATAAAGCGCAGTTATTATTCATAACTAACTACAGTGCTTATAGTACTAGGGATTCCTGCTATAATATGAGAACAGTCTGTTACACACTCTCAGATATTGATTTCCATTTTTCCAACAGTAAGAGACTTGCTACAGTATGTATTTCATTCATATTAATGAGCTGCCACAACTTTGCATCTGACATGTTGGCAAGATTATCAAGTAGTTTCAAGTGTGAAATATGTTACAAATAAGACAAATACATAGACAATACTGAAATGCTATTAATAAAACTATTGTATTTTGAATCAATAAATGTATTTATCCTCATTTTGTTTTTAGTTTTCGTTACACACACACATACACACACACACACACACACACACACACACACACACACACACACACACACACACACACACACACACACACACACAACACATGATGTATAAAAATGTGTAAAATGTTTTATAAATGTTTTTCATCTATATATCACATATATGTATGAATTTTACAATAGTTATTTAAAAAAAAATACATTTTATAGAAGTAGCTATGCTATTGATAGAATAGTATATATGTATGAATATCAGCTTGTACAAATGTTGATATTATATAAACATAAGAAACTATGTATAATTTACAAGAGTATTATATAAACCTACCAAGTCTTAGAACACTTTAATAATAGGTGAGAATTTTGCAAAGACATGCTGCAATTATACCTATATCCTTAATACAGTGTGGCTCAAATGTCAATGACAAACATTCTTACAAATTGTATAAATAGTAAGCTTTGAAGATATAAAACTTCTATTATTTGTACATATTTCTATGTATAATTACAACACAGCCAAATATATCTCTACTCTGCTTACTTATAGTCTGCTTTACTAGTTCTAATTTTTGTGTGTTTAATATCCTATAAACTAATTTGTAAATCACACAAATATGTACAGATAACAATTGTCAAATGATCATATTATCATAGCATTCTTATATTAAATTATATATATATATATATTAT